ATGATGTTTTTCAAGTTTATATCTTAAAGATTATTAATTGTGAACGTGATCAAGATATTTTTTGATTTCTAGGGGGCTTTCCAATGGATGAGTTAATTTTCCTAAAAAAAAAAAAGGAAGTACAACTTTAGGGAAATATATATCATAAAAAGAAGAGGCACAAATCTGGCATGCCTAGTATTAGCAATAACTGAACTGAGGCGAGAGGGGTAACTGGTGCGAAATTTAGTGTACTTTACCCATTTTACTCACATAGGGAATTCAAGACGTGTCAGTTGGTTACATATTTTTATTTCGGAACGCAAGGCAAAAAAGAAAATAAATACCACAATTTCTGGGCAGTGGCATTAGTCGGTTATCACTTGGTCAATTACCCCTAGTGTTTAGGAAATAAATAAAATATTCTGGATATTTCCAAGATTCAAAAAATAAAATAAAAAATGGTAACTTTGGAAACTTAAAAAAAATAAAAAATAAAAAAAAATTGGTGGGTTTGCTATTATTATCACTGTATTTAATCTTTCTTTTCGTTCCCTCTCTTCAATATCTGATGAGCTTATTCTTAGTTGCATATGATGATAATAGTTGTATCTTAATATTGTAAGGGAAGACATAACAAACCTAGAGAGGAAGATAGATAAAAATCATAAAAAAATATACAAGATAATGATAATATGTCCTCTTTTTGTTTTGTTTTGACATTTTTATTTAAAAAAAAAAAGAATAAGAAGAAGAAGAAGAAAAAAGAAAGACATGCATGGATTGTTCTTTTAAAGATGAAGAAGATATAGTCATTTCCTTTAAGATGTTTTTTGTAGCAGGATTATCCTTTAACAAGATCACAAAGAAATTATTCTTTGACAAGATCACAAGGAGATTATTCTTTGACAAGATCACTAGACTGGAGGAACTCGGAACCCCAACTAAATTGTATCACTACTCCAATGTTAGAAAATGAAAGTTGTTGGGTAATCCGCCATATGTGGTTACAAGAAAGCTCCATACAGGTCCTTGCATAGAGCGGAACTCAGAACACTAATCAATTGCACCACTACTCTAATGCTAGAAAATAAAGGTCATTGGACAACCTGCGAGTAACCAGGGGGAAACATATCTACCAACATCATAAGTCACGAATAAAGCAATCATAATCCGGCTATAAATAAAAGTCCTTTGCCGCCTTAATTGGCCTCTTGGGCAGCCGTTCAATTCCTACTCGAAAACGGGAAAACAAAGTCCCTTGCCGCCTTAATTGGCCTCTTGGGCAGCCGTTCAATTCCTACTGGAAACGGGAAAACAAAGTCCCTTGCCGCCTTAATAGGCCTCTTGGGCAGCCGTTCAATTCCTACTCGAAAACGGGAAAACAAAGTCCCTTGCCGCCTTAATTGGCCTCTTGGGCAGCCGTTCAATTCCTACTCGGAAAAGGGAAAACAAAGTCTCTTGCCGCCTTAATGGCCTCTTGGGCAGCCGTTCAATTCCTACTGGAAACGGAAAAACAAAGTCCCTTGCCGCCTTAATTGGCCTCTTGGGCAGCCGTTCAATTCCTACTCGTAAACGGGAAAACAAAGTCCCTTGCCGCCTTAATTGCCCTCTTGGGCAGCCGTTCAATTCCTACTCGGAAACGGGAAAACAAAGTCCCTTGCCGCCTTAATTGCCCTCTTGGGCAGCCGTTCAATTCCTACTCGGAAACGGGAAAACAAAGTCCCTTGCCGCCTTAATTGGCCTCTTGGACACCCGTTCAATTCCTACTCGGAAGCGGGAAGATAAAGTCCTTTGCCGCCTTAAATGGCCCCTTGGGCACCCGTTCAATTCCTACTCGCAAGCGGGAAGATAAAGTCCCTTGCCGCCTTAAATGGCCCCTTGGGCACCCGTTCAATTCCTACTCGCAAGCGGGAAGATAAAGTCCCTTGCCGCCTTAAATGGCCCCTTGGGCACCCGTTCAATTCCTACTCGGAAGCGGGAAGATAAAGTCCCTTGCTGCCTTAAATGGCCTCTTGGGCACCCGTTCAATTCCTACTCGGAAGCGGAAAACAAAAGTCCCTTGCCGCCAAAAGAAGACCGGCCCTCCGAGATAAAAATAGCTTAATAAAAAAAGACCGGCCCTCCGGGATAAAAATGGTTTATCAAAAGAAGACCGGTCCTTCAGGATAAAAATGGTTTATTAAAAGACCTTTGGGAACCCTTCTTTTTCCTAATTGGAAGCAGGAAAATTATTGAACATTTGATTCTGAAAGATCATAATCAGCGCGCAAGACATGATCATATAGGGTTCTCACATTTTACTCAGCTCCAAACTCAGAAGCAATTACAAACCCAGAGACGACTACAACCAACGAGCAACACGATAAAGCAACTTGGACCTCGGAAGCATTCGCAAGCTGGGTTTTCCCGGCATTCATATCCTTTTTCACAACACTAAACATTCTTTGATAGGCACATGGGGTTTACTTTTACCCCGACATTTCGACTATGCGCAATGTCGGGCTGGGGGGCTTATGTTGTGGACCACTTATGTGGTATCCACTTCCTATCCCCACTACATGGAGCATCTCATTCCACCATTCTCTCCTAACTCCCATCTACTAGCAATAACCACCCACTAGCATTGCATCATGCCATTAAGTCACCTGCAAACTACCCACTAGGAGCACAATCTCCTAGTGCATTCATCTATATATAACCCCTTATAGCTAACAAAGAAGGGGATCTCAGAACTCACCTACATACTTGTGCCCAGAGCACATCCTATCCACCGCAGGTGACTCACACACACACCCCTTGTTCATCCCATCGTACTTTGGCCTAAGGTACAGGACTTCTCATTGCCTGTCATCTTTACCATAAGCTCCGTAGATACAAATACTAGCTATCCTGCTAGACCATTAATGTTCACTCCAGAACAACATGAAAAACTTAAAAACTCAAAGAATATTCATAAAAAAAAATTAATTTTATGATAAGGATGCTAACACAATATTTTAGGTTTTTCTGAGCATTGCACTGTTAACTACATAAAAAAATATCACTTTACCCCGTATCAAAATATTTTATCTATTTGTCCCTGATTGATCGTTAACCGCGCAACATACTCGAGTATGTAGGTATATACTGAATATTCAACGTTTGGATTTTTTTGAATATTTACTTGAGTATAGGACCTAGATACTCGGATATTTGTTGTTCCACACAATATACTCAAGTATATGGGTCTAGGGGTGTTCGCAGTCTGGATTGGTTTGGTTTTGGAAGCAAAAATTATTCGATCCAATCCCTTCGGTTTGATCATGTAATCATCTATTCGGTTTGGATTTTTTTTCAAATCCGATCCAATCTAATCCAACATTTTTGGTTTGGATTGGATCGGTTTTCGGTTTTTTGAAAATCCTAAAATTTGTTTTATGATTATTGTGCAAATAACATCTTTTGTATGTATTGACTCTACACAAATGAGATATGAAGCTCTTCACAAATGAAATTTTGTTAATGAGATGTGACTAGGTTTTTTCTTGGGTTTAGTTGATGGGTTAAATGATATTGGGTTTAGAAATTTTTGGGCTATAATTGGGGAAAGACCCAAGTAGGTAGAGAGAAATTAATATATTGGATCGGTTTTGATTGGATCGATTTTCATCAATCAATCCGAAAACCGATCCAATCCAATTAAAATTTACGGGTTTTTTTCGGTTTTCGATTTTCGATTTTTCGATTTTCGGTTTGGTTACCGCGGTTTGAATCGGTTGACGAACACCCCTATATGGGTCTATACTCGAATATATTGCGACCAAATTTCCTAAGGGAATTTTTCAATGCATAGCTCTCAAAAAGTTATGTGGAATTAAAAAAAAAACACTTGATTCAGACACCTATATAAGTCAAAAGTTATAGCCTTCCGAAGTTTTACTTTAAAATTTCCAAAATTTTGTAATACCAATAGGTTTTATGATACCCACAAAGCTCCTACTTGGGTTACTCGAGTCAAGTCCAATATTATAAATATATGACTATAAAAACTTGTTTGATCCAAAAAATCTCATGGAAAAAATTTTAACTATAAAACTTCGGAAGACCATATTTTTTGACTCGGGTGTCCGAATCAAGTATTTTTTTATGCCTCGTAACTTTTCGAAAGCTACGCGTTGAAAAATTTGCAAGTCAAAAGTGATGGCCTTCCGAAGTTTTACTCTAAAATGTTCAAAATTTTGTAATGCCAATAGGTTTTGTGAGATCCACAAAACTTGTTTGATTCAAAAAATATGGTCTTCCGAAATTTTATGCTTAAATATTTTTCAACGAGATTTTTTGAATCAAACAAGTTTCTATAGTTATATATTCATAATGTTGGACTTGACTCGGGTAACTTCAGAAAGAACTTTGTGGGCATCACAAAATCTATTGATATTACAAAATTTTGGAAATTTTAAAATAAAACTTTGGAATACCATAACTTTAAACTCAGGTGTCCGAAGTAGGTAAAAAAAAAATTATTCCACATAATTTTTCAAGAGCTACGCACTGAAAAATTCTCACAGAAATTTTGGTCGCAATATACTCTATTATAAACCAATACACTCAAGTAAATGTTCAAAAAAAAAATCCAAATATTGAATATTTACTCAAGTACAAACCCATATGCTCAAGTATTTACTATTCTACTCAAATATATGGATTTACTATTATAATCGAGTATATGGATATATACTCGAATATATTACACGATCAACAGTTAAATAGAAGCAGATAGATGAAATGTTTTGATACCGGGTAAAATGATTTTTTTTTTATGTAATTAAGGGCAAAATAGTGAAAAAGTCCATAATTTTAACTTGAGTAATTAAGACACCGAGCATTGCTTATCACAGTGGACCAACACCACGAATTAATTAATGTTTAGAAGTAAAATAATTAACAAATTTAAGCCATTAAAAGTAAGTTAATATTAGATTGTATGAATGTAAATTCAAATTTCTTTGTACTAAAGAAAAGATTGACAAATTCACCATCAAATAATAAATAAGGATATATTAACATTTCCGGCTTCTGTTCCAATTGCAATTTTGAAGACGAGCAAGTACTTTTGGACAAAAATTTAGTTGTCTAGTTCTATAGCAAGACTTATTGGCAGAGTTCTGAAAAAGGAGAAGCTAATTCGGTACGTATAGACACAGGATAAGATATTGGAGTATAAAAAAGAAGTAGAAAAAGGGATGATGGAGCAAACTCAATCGAACATTTCCCACAAGGTCGAGGATGGAGGATGATCAAAAGTCTCCCACTTGGTTGTAACAACAACAGGATTCATTCTTGCATTAGATACCTTAAGTAGATCCAGGGTTTCAACACATTTCTGTACTCTCTTTCCCTGAAAAAGCAAATATCTGATTTAGCATATAACTATTTATTCCCTAAGTTTTACCAAAGTGAAAATGTACAATATGCTATTATCGAACTTCTTTTATATAGTCAGTGAAAAACTGCAGACTTGATATCCAGAAGTATTATTCCATGGGAAAGCTACCTTAAATAAACAAAGCCATTTTTTTCTTTCATTTTTAATGCACAAGTCAATTCCCTTTAATTTTAATATAAGATTAAAGAACAATAAATTATTTAAGGATAACGTTCATCCATAAAAAAAAAAAAAAGTACTATCCACTTATAGCTACATTTACCTTCCAAATTAAACCAAATAAGTGCCAAAATAAGTACCCGGTAACAAAATGGATTCTTTTGGAAATACCTGCAAATTTTTCAGCGCAGAAGCATCTCCTTCTGCAGAAATGCTTTCTAATTTGATTGCTTGCCTCATAAGCATCTCAATCAGTGTCGTGATCTGAACTTCTGGTACTTTGACTCCATTGGAAATAGACTTCTCAATTGCAGAGACCTATTGGAAAGAAAATGAGTTATATACTGTGTTGGGACAAGGTTTCGAATAGCACTTGTATACAATGGTGCTTACTACTATATTATATAAGTGATCATTTAAAACTCAAATGCATATGAGGGAAGAAGTATCAACCAAGATGTTTCAGACATGGATTCAAACTTTCGGGGGTGAATGGTTGGGTGTGATCAGTCAAATAATAATACATACATTATATTTAATATATAAAATATTTAGTAACTACAAAAAATTATGGAACATAAAGATTTTTTTAAAGTTAAAGTTATTTTATATTTAGATGGAGAATATAGAAAGAATTTTTGAATAAAAGAATTATTTGGATGTTAATATTAATAAATATTTTTTGTATAGAAATTACTAAAAAAAATATATGACGTTAATGGAGGTGATGGAATGATAGTAATGGCATGGGATTGGGGAGAGCATTTTTTATGATCGGGATAACCATTGATTGGGTGAATTCTTTGTGAAAATGGAGAGAGTAAAAAGGGAAAGTGAAAAAATAACAGAGATAAAAAAGGGAAGAAAAATTGGTCTTGTGAGAATGAACATCGAGTTTTGGGTATTCCCGGACCTTAAAAAATATTTCTGGGGTTGGGGCCAAATATAATTTTGATAAAAAAATCTTGACTTCCGTAAAAAATATTATTTTAACTATTTTTAATTTTTAAAAAAAGTTACATCCAAATATACATAATAAATAAAAAAACATTTTTTAATTTTGAAAAATAAAGTCACTTCTTAATAAATAAATAAAAAAAGGCAATTAAAAGAGCAAAACAACTTACTAGGTACACAGAATGTATATGCAAAAATTTCTCCCATAAGAACTCGTTCTCTAAATACATATTTACCGTTTCAAAAAAAAAAAAAAAACTGCATTTGTTTGGCTCGACAGAAAGGAAATGCATAATTAAGAGCCTTATCGAGCTATTATTGAATGTATTTACCAAATTTAAATTTCGGACACCCCATAATATGACACAAGCACCCAACCAAATAGATATTCGGTGTTGTATTCACGGCAACTTATTATAATGATAACTCGGTCCACATAAGTCATAACACTGACCAAACAAATCACTTAACGTGGTTCGTTTGTGCATTTCGTAGTATATATACAACAACACACAACACCCACCGGCCTGACCCACATCATTGCAGCTGTGACATCGTCATTATTAAATTATCGTGCACTGACCCAGTCTCAATTCTGCTTATTCCACAGTTCAGAACTTCAATCAACTTTTTTTTTTTTTTTTTAACATGCCGTTCACTCTATTTTAACTACTGCATGGACTGGAAAACAATAATGTCACGACTTCGCCCGAATAATGAAAAAAGAGGAAGCTAAACTACGATCAAGTTGTAGGTCCTATTTATTAAATATAATTTCTCATCCTTTTATTTTATCTATTTTAACTACTTATAAAATTTGTTAAAACTTTTATTTATTATAAACTGTAAACCTCGATTGCTATAATGATAAAACACTTTGTAATTAAACGACAAAGTATACCAAATTTCATATTGATTAGTAATACATTAAAATTTAAAACTCTTATTATAATGATATTATTATAAATAAAGCTATTTTAAAAGTTATCAAACATAAACAATCTCATAACAAAATAACAATAATAATAGGGAATATGTTTTCTGCTTTCAAGTCAGATAAATTTGTCTCTGTCATATGAATAAAATGGATAAAAAATTAAAGACAGAAAACATAAAAGAATGACAGAGAGAGAAAAATGATGGAGTCATTGCTTTTATCTCTTTTGTGGCGGACAAAATTATCTGCGATAAAGGTAGAAAACATATTCTAATAATAATAATAAGAGAATAATTCGTTTATAATTTTTTTTATAAATTATATTAAATATAATCCGTCATGTACTCTTAATTAAAATATGATCGATATTTAATGTAATTTGTAAGAGTTTATAAAAAAAAAATTATAAATATAATTTTTTTCTAATAATAATATTAAAATGTGAAAAATTCGAAGCTATTAGGATTGACTTAACGACGAAGGATTTGAATAATTTGTATTATTCGACGTGATCAATTCACACCGTTGTATAAAAAAAATGGGGAAAACTCGCATACCTGGTCTGCTAGCTGATCAAGTTCTACGGACACATCATTGATGGCACGATGTGCACTTTGGATCTTGGCATTCATTCGCATCTGGATGAAGCGTCGCTCAATGCTGGAAGGGTCTTGTATTAGCACTATTTTTGATTGGTCTTTCACACCGCACATATCCAAGTATTCTCCATTTTCTCGTTCTTTCCCTCTGTACACCAATCTCTGTTCATCTGCCTGCAACCCTGTTTCTCCGCTCATAACCTTCTTCACTTCCCCTGTCACTCAGTCAACAACACTGAACCATTAGACTTTTCATCCCAATTCCACTATAGCTGAGGGCAAATTCGTCATATGATTAAATGTGACTATTCTTTACGCGTTCCTTCCACAAACATTACTTGAATATCATTTCATTTTCACCATGACTCGTTTGGTTTCCAAGAAAAAGCGAAAAATTTAAATAAATAATAATAATAGAGTGACACGCTCCATGCCATGTTACGTGGGCACGTAGCATTAACAATGATGGTACATTACTGATCAGAAAAAATAGTAATAATTTTCTAAGTAACCAAACAGAGCACAAGATAATTCACAATGGTAGATCTTACCGAAAGTGGCCATGGAACTGACGCAGATCTCGTAGCGGATTGCACCGTAGGCGATTCGAAGGCGCAAATTTGGTGTTGGAGCGTCCGGTTTCACGCTCCTTTTCTGAACCAACATTCCTCCAGGTCTCATTTCCCACTCGGTGTCTTCTTCTCTTGCGGTGGACGACGATGACGTCGCCGCCGCGGGGCTCTCTCTTGTTCTTCTAGTTCTACCGTACGAGTTCAGTTTCTTCTTCATCATCCTGAACTCAGTTTTCCCGGGAAAAACAATGGAGACTGTTTTTTTTTCTTTTTTCTTGGGAAAATGAGGGAAAATATCTAAACCATGACGAGCATGAGTTAAAAAAACGGTGTATTGTATTCTCTGCCGACACAAACAGGTTTGTGAAGTTCGAAGTTGTGTGGGATTTATGTAGTAGGATCAGTAGGAGGCAAGGAGGAAAATTATGGTGCTTTTGCGGGGCACAACGGAAGAATCTTGGACCAATCAGAGATGCGCCACGTGTAAGGGTCGGTTAGCTTGTGTGTAGTGACAGCTAAGGTTGCCGACAGTTGAAGGAATAAGACACACACACTCAGTCATGTTGCTTTTGCTTAGTGTTAAAAAGGGACACGTGGAGGGAATCCATTGGATGAGAGTTTTGTAAGTTTGTATATTATTGAGTTTGAAGCTTGTGTTAATTTGGATTTTGTGGTTGGTTTATGGTGTGATTAGTTTCGTTTTCATGGGTAGGCAGGGAAAATGGCCATGTGGGACATTACTTTGGCTGTCAAGTTACGTGGGCTATGGGTGGAGAGGGAATCTTGACCGTTGGTTGGAGTTCATAGTAAACTGATCAAACTGTGTCTGATAGCTCTTGTCTTGTGGATGAATGGTTTGCTTGCAGAGGGATTAAACATTGTATTTGTTAAGATAGATAGATAAGGTTTAACAACTTGCAGTTGAGTTATTAAGATTAAGAATTGAGTAAAAGTAGTTATTATGATTATGAAAACTGATTAACACTTTGACTCGAAGGGGCTTACTTGCCAAATGGATTATAGTTGTCAGTGACAAAGACCGGATTTCACCATTTTAAAATAAAAAGAAGTATGTTATAAATATAACGGATTTATTAATCTTACGTGGGTGACACAAATATGTGGGATTCACAATTTAAAAAAAGAAAAAATTAACATAAAATTCTATGAATCTATGACATAAGATAATTTTCTTATGCAACATAAGATTATTATTTCCCTAAAATGTACATTTTACATGATACAATTTTATTTACGGATGTTGGTTATACGTACAAGGTGTTAGTCTTAAAATAATTTTATTATTTTGGATTAAGACTTCTTTGATAAAATTAAAAATAACAATAAAATCTAAAAAAAATAAACAAATAAATAAAGATCAATATTCTGAAATTACATTATTATTATTATTATTATCATTATCAACCTAATTTCTACACACTCAAATTGGGCGGAATTGAAATTTTTTAAGTTAATATTTAGTATAATATAATTTTAGAATATCGAGGATATTTAATTTTTATTAGTGTGCACGCTGAAAGAATTATGCACATATCACATATAAGAAATTTTTATGATTTTCGAACTGCCATCGCCCCTCTCACCTTCCACCTAGTTTTGCCTTTATTAGTTATTACTACTGACAATTTGAAAGCATGTAAGGTTCATAATAAGAAAATGACATATGTTATTTCCAAAAAAAAGAAGAAAATGACATATGTAGCACTACAATTTTCCAGTGAATAATGCATATCCTTTATATTTATATATATATATATATATATATATATAATAAAAATTGAATGCATATTACTACTAAATCAATCTTAGTGGCTTACCGTATTTAAGTGTTAACATTTTGGACCGTTTCTTTAACTTTACTTTTTCTTCTCAAACTTTTCTCTAATTTTGGTCTAATAATACGCTATGTTCGAATTGAGGAGATCCACCAAAATCGTATGGAATCTTATCTTGGATTTAACATGGCAAAAGTATAAACTTTACTATTCCTAGCAAATGATAAATCGTACCATGTCCACGGATGAAATTTACCGGTCGATAGCATCCATTTTCTAAATATTTTTAAATTTGAGAAAATATTTTTGTTATCAATGTGCACGGTCCAATCTTAGGAGAAAGCAAGCTAGTATATGGACCTCCTCCTAGCTAGACAAGTCTAACCTTAAGCCCTGATTGGTATGAGAATTTTTTTAGAAATTATGAAAAAGTAGGGCGGGACAAATTTGTTTCCAATATTTGATATAAAGAAACTGAAAATAATATGAGGAAACTTTTTTTTTCATCGCTCCATTTTACATATCATATTCCCAAATGAAAATACCATATGATATATGATATTTTTATTTTCTCATAGTATTAGCATAATTAACCTGACATTTTCGAAAAAAAATTGGACTTATCAACAAACACCTTTTCGTAATTTATCGGGGAAAAAAACTTCTCACTATATTTCCAAAAATCTTTTTTTTTTTCAGTAAAAGAAAATATCTCTTCTACCCAACCTCCTAAGTTGCCCGCGAAAGGAAAATGCAAAAGCACAACATATCATGACATCAAATTTCAAAGATAATACAATTCCTTTTTTTTTCTGGGTTAAAAAAAAGAAGATATCCCAATTCTATCATATTAAATCATTTGAATAAACACACGGTAGAGAATTAGACACAAAACTGTAGCCAAGGTGGGTTCTGCCCATAGCAGCGGAAATACATCCAATTGAAGAGTTCAAGACAAAATCAAAGCACAATTCTTCGGGATCCAGCAATACAGCTACATAAAGTTTGAACAAATAACATAGAATGGTGATGGACTTATTATTTAGTGACAAAATTATTTACCGAATTATCAAATATAAAAGCAATCTTGAGTTTCACAAGCCTAGTTTCGAAAATTCCGTCCATTCCTTGTCAAATTTTACTTGAATGATTGAAGAGCTTTTCGAGCTTTTAATTTTTGGGTTCAGCTGATTTGGATGTTCTTTCAAGGGGTCAAATATCTTTTTTCATACTGATACTTTTGGGAAAAATCTTGTGCGTTTACACACAACACTTAAAAAATTTCTAATATATATATATATATATATATATATATATATATATATATATATATATATTGGAACTGCTTACAACTTCTCCATTGTAATAAAAAAATGTCGATTTTCATGAGCAAAAAAGTCTATCTTGAAAAAAAGAATGGGTTTTTTAAGTGCTTCACTGTCTTTTTTAAAAGCTCATCCAAACTCATTAAAATTTCAGAAAAGTATATAAAAAGAAAATGCACATCCAAATGATCACTTACCTGCCAGTCCTAATATATTCAACAAAATCGCTATAGATTAATGTCCATCACCTCAAATTTCTGACAGCAAAATTGAACCGTTTCCTTCCATTTCATCTGTATCTCAACTTGACAACAACCTATGTGTATAATGTCTTACAAGCATGTAGTTTAATCCAGGAAAGTAAGCATCCAAACCCAAGTACAATGCAGCAATTAGGTAGCTCGAATATCAAGGAAAAGACGTAATTTTTGTATAAGCATCTCACGAGTACCAAAAAGTGGTTTCTCACTTGTGGTCCAGTCCTTCTCCAGGAGACTTGTTTTAGCACCAGCCAACATCTCATCATGGAATGCAGAGACTATTTGGTAGATTGAGATCTTGAGAACATCAGCAATAGCATAAGCTTTTGAATTTACTGGGCCATTTCTTCTTTTACCAGCTGTAACATCTACTCTTCCACTATTCAATGTTGCCCATTTGATACCAGCAGGTCCTAACAACTGATTTGGGGATTGCAGGTTTGTTTTCTTTCCCATGAAATTTTCAACAGCAAGAAGGCAGGATATCAGTGTTGAAACCACGGCGGCATTACTCCCAGAAAGCTGAGCAACCCCAAACTTATCTTCTTTACGTGAGCAGGCAGTCAGTGAGGCAACAGTCCTTGAACACCATGCATAAAGCTGCATATAAGCAAACAAATGCTTTTAATATGTCACATACTAATTTATAATGCTGGGTGTGTTGTTTTGTTGCCCCTTTGCTACAAGGTCTCTTATCAGACAATGGCAGTAATAAGTGAAATTTCATCACCAGAGCTTAAAAATAGTAATTTATAGGGCTGCAATTCATGTCAATGACCCATGTGCATACTGAAGCAGCCCAAAAAAATCACAGGTTGGTAGTCCGTATTCCCCTCTATAAGTGTGCCTGTCCCTAAGTGGATGCATGTGTCTCACTGACAAACAAGACTTCAAAACCATAGGATGGTCTTTCCCTCTATAAGTCCGTCCATCTTTAGCTACTGCATTATCTAAACAGCAACATTATCCCCAATTCCTCAGAAAAAATATGTGCGTTTTTGCATTTGAATTATTCCTCTCATTTTATTTTTCTTACATGTGAAGAGGGATGGCTTAAATATCAACCATGCAATGATTGGTTGTGGCAATTTTACATTTTCAATGGTTCAATACAGAAAATTCAATAGATCTTAAGATATCATGATTATTACTGGGGTTTAGTGTTCTGACGAGAGATAAAATTATCTCTTGCAAACCCTATCGTTTAGGGTTTGAGAAAAAAATACAAGGCGCTTTGGGAAATTCATGTTGCAAGAGAGAAGCAAAAATCTCAAAACGCAATTTTTTTGGGATTGCAGGTGATATTTTTATCTCCTATGATAAGAGAAACACTTTTCCCTTATTATTGTGCTAGGAGTGTGATTGGGATGGGCTTGGGCATTACTAATTATCAACTGACCTAAAATACTAGTATATGTAGGAGTATTAGGTTAGGATATCACATCGACACAACATCATAATTACTTAGTCACATTACTGAAATATATTCTCTCCTTTCTCCTTTTTATCCAATCCCTATAATTTCAACATATATCATGTGGAAAAAAATAAAAAAAATAAAAAATTCAAAGCTTAGTGGGGACATAAGAAATTTACCCTCACTTCATTCAATGCGCACACACCCTGTTTTCAAGGCAGGAGTTTGTGGTTAAAACAAAAACAAGATGAGGCTTCAGCGTGTTCAATAATCAGTGTCACAACTTACAAGTACTTTTTAAATTATCCATTTCCGTGGGCTTCATTGTTTAACAATCAGGATTCAGTAGAGTGGCACATTTCTTTGTATACTCCTTGCAAATTGACTATTTTGGCTCCACAACTTTAAAAACAAGTTTCAACAATGCCAGATAAAAACTGAAGATCAAACAGACGCCTGAAAGACGTAGAAATACTCATGATAAGCCTAAAAATTTTATTAGTGAAGTTTTAAATTCAGTATGACCATCCGAATTCACAAAGCTTTCCAATTATAAAAAAAATAGGTTTCTGTTAGAGCCCAAGTCAGTTACCGCACGTGTAATTAGAAGTCTGTTTTCACATGTGTAATTAGAAATAAAAGGGGAGATGGGGAATTAGTTAGGAGGTAGTTATGAACTGAGAGAGGAAAAGAAGGGGAGAGCCCAGGACACTTAAAGATCCTGGCATAGGAGGAATTCAGCATTCAACTCCGGAGTGACTTGCATCTGATATCTGATATTGTATCCTATTGATGATACAAATCTTCAGATATAGAAGTTCTGTTTATTAGCCACAAATAAGAAATATACAACTAATAAGGTTATACATGTACCTGGAAGTTGTATAGTTGTTCTATGTACTTCAAATCTAATCGTGCATCTGTTGGGGAGGATAACTGATTTGATAGTTGTGCAGGTTTGTCAGCAGAATTTCCCAAGCCTTCACCTAATCTTGAAGCAAGATGCTCCAGAGGCCGCAAGCACAAAGCAATTACTCTTTTGTAACTCTCACCACTTTCTTCAAAAAATGCCGCACGCCGCCAAGTGTCAACATTGTTCTCGCAAACCATACAGAGATCAAGATATGCAAGATACCGGAGAAGAGATGTTGGATTGCTGTCCTCCAAAGCTGAAAGGAGATGCTCAGTTGGATTTGTTTCTGCTGCTGCAGATCCTTTTGGGGGTGCAAATATGGACCTCTTAGTATGTAAAACCTATAAACCATATTCAACCAAGATAGAGACTTCAGTCAGTGATTAACAACACTTCCCTCCAAAGGCAGGGGATTATACAGGCATATAAAAAATTATTCAGGATTCCAAATAGTTGTATATGTTTCTATGACTAGTATATGGATAACATATATACAGGGTCCATTATGGATAGTTTAGACAATAGAGTAACTGATAGTTGTTTTCAGAGGCATTTCTTATTTAACTTTGCATGTGCGTGTAGTCATGTTGCATTGTACATTTTCCTGCCATTCTTGCATTGTACAATGAGCACACACAACAAACATGCACATTTAGATTATTCGTCCAAGTAAAGCATCCCAGATATTATACTAAATTATGTTGTATACATAGAACCAAATCTAATAATAATAAACATGAAAGAGATCCCAAAGATTACATCTGCAGAGAATGAATATAGACAGAGCAAGAGATATTAAACATACAAATAAGCTGAGACAGCAGATCACTGAACAAAAAAGGTTGAACAAGCACATGACTGATGCACGACAACATATAAATACAACCTAATACAGACAAATGCACAAATATATGAACTAGGTTCCTCTATGCCTATGATACAAACATGGATTAAGATCAGAAATCATCAGTTCGAGAAAACCATGTACTAGACAGATTAATGTATCACAAGATCACAACACCATTTCATTTTGAGATTAACATAGGAATGATTAAAATGAAATCAATACTGTCAAGAAAGACCACTAACAGCTACAATTTTAATAACAAACTTGCAAGAGGAAATATTTAAGTGGAGTGAAAACCAACCCGGTGCAAATGATGAGTCAATTCCCAACAGAGGAAGATAGCAAAACTCCCAATAGAAAAGATGATCTGCTCTGTAAAGTATCTTCGCATTGCAAAGCCATACTTAAATGGATGTGGAAGAATCTCTAATAAAATAGCTGAAAATAGGAAAGCTACGGTGGAAAGCTTGAAAGCTCTTCTAGCAGCTGAAGGAATTCCCATCTTAAAGCTGAAGAAAGGAGGACGCTGCTCGTACAAGTAGCTAAAGTCAGTGCTCATGATTATCAAGGATAAAAAAGACGCACATAGGTATCACAAACACCACAAAACAACAACATACAGCTATGTGTCATGTACAACTATACTTTTACATGAGTAAAGTTAAAAGGCATAGGTAACAATGTGAATGGATTATGAATTACGAGATAAGAGATTGACCTGAATGATGGGAAACTCCAAAACCCATCTGCGCTTAAAAATGTAATGCAACCCAAACATTGAACCAATGAGGAAACCCCTTAACCCAACTCTTCCAATCACCCAAAACCCATCACCGATGGCCATTGCCCCACAAAGGGACACCGCAGCCGCGAACCCCGACGCCGCGGACGCCGCCACGAAAAGTACGAAGCTCAGAGAGACCTTTAGCCGGTCGCGGAAGTCGGCGGAGTCAGGAGCTCCTCCGGCAGCGGAAGCGGGAACGAAGAGGAAGCGGAGGAGTCGAGTGGGGAGTTCGAAGGGCGAGACGGGGCGTAGAGGGTGTGGGGAAGCGATGACGGAGAGGGTGGCGGCGAAGAGAAGGTGGAAAGAGAGAAAGAGAAGAAATGGCCATAATGGGGTGTGAGGTATGGAGTTGGTGAGAGAAGAGATGAAAGGTTTGAATAGGGAAAAGATGAGGGTGGAAGGTATGGATTGCCAGATCAAATAACTCAGAAAACGATTCTTAAGAACAAGGTCAGGTGTTGTTCTTCCACTTGGACAAGACATTGACAACTTCCCACACTAGTCGCTTCTAGGTTTTCTCCACCTGGGGTTTTTGAAACCAAACAAACCTCAACAGCAACCTCACTCAGATTCCACTAACCCCTCTCCTTCTTCTTTCCCTTTGTTTTTTCTTTTTAAAAAATATCTATAATATTTAAGGGTTTTATAAGAGTTTTGTGATAAGAAGAGTGATTGTAATGTTATAGATATTCGTTTTGCGTGTCATAATTTTCTCTTTTCTTTTTTCTTCAAAAAGTGTGGGTCTCACAAAATATTGTGTGTGTAAGAAAGTTTGTTGTGTCATATTAAATGCCAAATGTAAACCCCAATATTTAAAATGTTAGAAGCACATTATTCAGGCTTTTTAGCTACTGTGCGTCTGTGCCTTTTATTTAATAAAAAATTATTACAATACTTCTGTTTTTAAATTATTTAAAAAGTATTATTTTTTTTCCTAAACATAACACCAATACGCCTTGTTTTGACTCCCGCTCATATTTGAGTAAATCATGTGTTATTAATTTCTACTCGAGTACAAACCATGCCTTAGGTATTAAATATAAACTATATTATTTAATATCAGAACGTGTCGAAATCTAATATTTTTTAGAATTAACATATCAGTGTATCGTGTCTTATGTCCCGTGTTGGTATCGATGTAATATAGGACCCTGATCCTCAAGTATCACGGTCCTGTACTCGAGTAGGATGATTAATATTTATCATAAAATTTTGAAATGCCATGACTTTTGGCTCTAGGGTTCGAATCAGATGATTTTTTTTTTATTCTACATAACTTTTTGAGATCTATACACTAAAAAATTCCTCGAGGGTTATTTGTTAGTGTTGAGAAGTAAAAATTCAAATAACATCATTCATAAAGATAAAATATGACAAACAGGGCTCAAGAAGCATTTTTTTTTACCAAGTCCCCTACAGTATTTGCCACGCGTAGGCATCGAAAAGTTGTGTGAAATAAAAAAAGCACTTGAATCAAAAATTGTGGCCTTCTGAAGTTTTAACTTCATTTTTTTAAATTTTTTTAATGCAAATTGGTCTTGTGATCCCACAAAGCCGTATGCTGGTGTAATCAATTACTTGGTATAGCCAATTGTCAGATAATTATGATATGAGTCTTAGTTCATTGATATAATCGATTATCGTATGTTAGTGTAATCATATTACTTGATTCAATCAATGATCAGAATGCAAGATTAGAGTTTTATAAAAAAAAAAAAAAAAAACCAGGTCGCACAACTAACTTGGGTTGAATACTTAAATATTATTTGTGATATGGGTTTTTATGAACATTTATTGGAGTACGACACCTATTGCTCAATTAAATGTTCATAAAAAATCAGACCATGAATAATACTCGAGTATATCACCTATATACCAAGTATTTATTGTTTCACATAATATATTCGAGTATATATCCTTGTACTCAAGTACATAATTTGGTCAACAGTCAATAGTCAACGATCAACATACAAATTAATGTTATGTTTTGATACGCGAACAAAGCGGTAAGTTTTATTTTAATTAAAAAACAGAGTGAAAAAACCTATTATTCAACATGACCGACTCTTCTAAAGTTAAGAATGTTATGTTAATGGATAAAGTGGGAGTTAGAATTTAGAACGGCCGATTTTTTAAAAATTAAAGCAGATAACTTTAATAACGTCATGATTTTTTATGCATGCATTTGTATGCATTTTATTACAATATTGGTCATTATTTTTCGATCAACCTTTATGCTTGAGGTAGTTCCTCTAAATAAATATAGACTCACGAGGCTCTATTATTAATGAAAATATTAAAAAGAAAATAATAAAAAAAGTGTCAATGCCGTTTTTTCTTTTTTATATGTTGTTTAAAAAATATTAATATTTCTTATGGTACGGGACCATATACTTGAGTATAAGGTCCCGTACTCGAGTATGATGATTAATATTTATCCTACAATTTTGAAATGCCATAACTTTTGGCTTGAGAGTTCGAATTAGATGATTTTTTTTTAGAAAAATGTGTATCAATTTAAAGGATGTAAAATTGTGTCATTTTAAGAGAGAGAAAGAGATAGATAAAGGAGGAGAGAGAGTTGACAAAAAAATAAAGGTGTGGGTCCCACCTCTTTGTGAGAGTGAAAGGATATAAGTTATGTCATTTAAAAGAATAAACACTTTTCCTTTTTTTTTTATTCCACGTAACATTTTGAGACCTATGCATTGGAAAATTCCTCGAGGGTTATTTGTTAGTATTGAAAAGTAAAAATTCAAATAACATAACTCATAAAAATAAAATATGACAAACGGGACATAAAGAAGCATTTTTTGGGAAATTTGTTTGACCAAATCCCTTGCGGTATTTGTCATGTGTAGGCATCGAAAAGTTATGAGAAAAAAAAACACCTAATTCCGATACTCGAGTCAAAAGTTGTGGCCTTCCGAAACTTTATCATAAAATTTTCTAAATTTTGTAATGCAAGATACCCACGAAGTTGTATATTCGTGTAATCAATTACTTGGTCTAGTCAACAATATGGAAATTATTATACAAGTATTCATTGATATAATCAATTATCGTATGCTAATGTAATCGATTACTTGATTCAGTGAAGGTTTTGAAATACATGATGTGAGAGTTTTATAAATAAATAAATAAAAAACCCAACTCTTAGTAACTAACTTGGGTTGAATACTCAAGTTTTACTCGTGATCTGAATTTTTATAAATATTTACTAGAGTACACCACATATTGCTCGAGTAAATGTTCATAAAAATTCAGATCACGAACAATACTCGAGTATATCATTTGTGTACTTGAGTATTTGCTGTTTCATACAATATATTTGAGTATCAACCTCTGTACTCAAGTACATAGCTTGGTCAACAGTTAAATATGGACAAATTAGTGTTATACTTGGGTACGAGAATAAAGTGATGATTTTTACTTTAATTAAGAAAGAAAATGAAAAAGCCTATTATTCCACATGACCGACTCCTCTAAAGTTAAGAATATTATGTTAATGGATAGAGTGGGAGTTAGAACCGCCGATTTCAAAAAAAATTAAAGAAGATAACTTTAATAACGTCATGATTTTTTATGCATGCATTTTATTACAATATTGGTCATTAATTTTTCGATCAACCTTTATGCTTTAGGTAGTTCCTCTAAATAAATATAGACTCACGAGGCTCGCATAAAATTTATTTATTAATAAAAAAAATAAAAAAAATAAAAAAAAAAGTGTCAATGGCGTTTTTCCATTTTAGTATGCTGTTTAAAAAAATTAATATTTTTTATCTTGTAGGACATAAATTTAAATTTATTTTCTATACACTTATAAAAGGTATATGAGGCCCATGTAACTCAATCGGAAGAAAATAAAAAAATACGGGTCATTCATATTTATATATAAAAGAAATGAAATTTATCTCATTAAAGAAACATTAAACTTAAACCCTTCAAAAAAAAAATATTCGTTTCCAAATAATAAGATTTCATGGCATCGAAAAGGGTGAATTACAAGAACTAATCTAAAATGTAAGGACAAGCTAGCAAAAGAAGGAGAACAGGACTGTAAAATTAACAAAGACATGATATACTTAAGCATAATTTACTCAGCTTTCTGTTTCAGATGCACTCCTTACATTGGCAGCTCACAACAACTCAGACAAGAAGGCTTTGTGTAAGGCTCTCCTCTTCCATATGAGTTCCACTTCTTCAAACGTCAATCCTTTAGTCTCTGGCACAAAGAAGAGCACAAAGAAAAATCCAACCACGGCTAAAACACAAAGAATAACGAAACTCCCATCAAGTCCCACAGCATCAGAAATGGAAAGAAAGCCCATAGACATTATCAATCTGCAACTCCAGTTTACTGTGGCTGACATGCCCCCACACACGGCTCTGAATTCTTCAGGATAGATTTCTGAGTTCATAGTCCATGGCACTGGTCCCATTCCTGGAGCAAAGAAAAGAATATAAAGGGCTAACCCAATAATTGCAATCCAACCATAGGTTCTATTTGTTGGTTCAGATGCTTGAAGGTGAGACCCTGCAGAAAGTATTGCCAGAGCTACAATTGCACCTGACAAGCTTGTGAGAGCCAACTTCCTTCGCCCTGCATGGTCAATTAGATAAATGCCAACAATTGTTCCAGCAGCATTCATGCCAGCAACAATCAGGGATAGAAGAAGAGCTAATTGATTGGAATTAAATCCAACCATCTCTATGATTGTGTGACTGTAGTATGTCACTATGCCGATACCGCTTAACTGCTGAAAACCCTGCAAAATATATAGTCTAAACAGTTTAGAGAAGGATAATATAAGTACATTAAAGTGCTCTTGTAATAGGTTGAGCTTTTTGTGTTGAATGGTTATTGACATGGTGATCAAGTTTCTTTAGCATTATATCTCACTCATTATTCACCCTTCGAGTCCAATAAATTTTTATATACGAGGAGACATATTAGCATTGGCGGAGCCAGCAAGGCATTCTAGCCAGTGCCAAAAAATTTAGTTGGTGCCAAAATAACTACGCTTATACAACTACGACCAAAACATGGCTAATTTTCTTGAAACATGATTTGCTACATTTCAAGCGTAGCGAAATAAACATGGCTAAATTAGCCAGTGTCAAGTCCGCCACTGCATATTAAAAAAATATAATATAAAACAATTAGCGTGATACAGAAGGATAATATAAATTCATTAAAGTGCTCTTGTAATAGGTTAAGCTTTTTGTATTGAATGCTTCTTTATATGGTGATCAAGTTTCTTTAGCACTGTACCCCAGTGCATTATTCACCCTTCAAATCTAATAAATTCTTATATATGAGGAGACGTATTAAAAAAATATAATATAAAACAATTAACGTGCCATTTACCAAATAACTTAAGGTTTTGGGGTAAAATGATTATTTACATCCTTAAGATGTAACCAATCATAAAAGCATGCTTTAAATATATCTATCATTATTATGAGAAAATGGATGTTTCAGATGGACAGTGCAAAACACAAGGAGAAAGTAATTTTTAGAAACAGAAAATATTTAGGCTTGTCTCAATAACCTGAAGTCCAGCCCCAACAAAAAATGCAATTCTGATTTCCTTTGATCTGAAAACATCCATGATTCTAATAGTTTTCTGTTTCTGATGTTCTTGGTCACAAAGAGCAGTGAGGTAATCAATTTGATCCACTAGGCGTTCATAATTATAGATATTGGTAAGCACAGAAATGGCTTCCGCTTTCCGATTCTGTACAAAAAAAGATACCAGTATAAGATAAGCTTTCAGCATACGGAGCGCATGTAATATAACAATTACCAATGATACAATTCCATAAATTGAAAATGAAAATGAAAACTTTTCACCTTCCGGAAAAGCCACCTTGGAGACTCAGGCATGCAAAGCATCACAAAAAACTGAATAACAGCTGGCAAACCAGCAAATCCCAGCATCCATCGCCATGTCCCAGGAACCTGCATTATCAAAATTTCTTTAGCTGGTTTCTCTAAAAATTATAAAAAAAAAAACTTTTATGAACAGGTAATAACAATACCATTGAGCCAAATAAAATTTAATGAAATAAAAACTATATATTTAGGCTTTCATTACACTAACTGTCACTTGAACAGCATTAAAGACCTTACAAATTTTTTTAGAAATATAAAAATAAATTTAATTTGAACAAAGTATAATCCCAACCAAATTAAGGCTGTTTTTGATTTCTGTTTTGCAAAACAGTTTTTTAGTTTTCAGAACAAAAAAACTAATAAACTCGTTTGGTAAGACCTGTTTTGTAAAAAATGTTTTGAAAACTATAGCTGTTTTTTTGTTTTTAAAATCAAATTTAGAGAACATGTTGAGTTGTTTTTGTTTTTTATTTTGGTTTTTAACTTTCAAAAAGAAAAAAAGTATAGAAAACAACTGTTTCCATAACTATTTTACAAAACAATTTTAAAAACAAAAAAATCAGAACACAATCAAATAGGCAATGAGAATGTGTGATTTACATCTTAATAACTTGCAAAACACTACATGTACGGTTTCCCCCAAGTAACATGCCACTTGTAACTCACTAGCTACAGGTGACATCAAGAGAAATAACTTGTAAACTCTCTCTCAGCAGTCATGCAATTTAAGCTCATATGGGTGAAAAAGAACAGTCATTTCAATGACAAAAGTTTATTTAAAAAATTAAAAAAAGAATTCAAAAAGATCTTGACTTTTTTCTTCTTCTTCATGATTCTCCTCCTTTCCAAACCAATGAACAGAAAGAAACGCGCAGGAAACCTTTATAATATTCTATTGTATATTGTTTTGGTAATTTCTATTGTAAAAATTTGTTAGCGGAAAAAACTATACAAAATAATGGTAAAACAAGATTGCAAACTATTCTATTGTAAGACATACATCCTTACTTAAATCAAATCAAATCAAATCACTTATAACTAAAATTAAATTTGAATTGACTTAACTTTTTAAAACCATAACATAAAAAAAATAAAAGATTATACTTACTACCAATTTAGTCTTATTATCTGATTGTTTACAGTTGGATCAATTTAAAATTAATGATTGAAAAATGAAAAAATTAACTTTCGTTGATTTTAAATCGATATAACGATAACAAATTAGGTAGTAAGACTAAATTGGTAGTAAATATAGCTGTCCCTAAAAAAAATTATTGATTAAACGATGAGACAATTGAATCAAGGGAGGAGGAAAAATAAAATTGTTATGAGCAACACATGGCATTTATTGAATGTCAGATTTTATTCTTTAAGTTTCTTTAGGCTGGAACTGTGCATGGGGATGTAGCTCAAATGGTAGAGCGCTCGCTTTGCATGCGAGAGGCACGGGGTTCGATCCCCCGCATCTCCATTTTTTTAAGGAAATGAAAAACAAAGACTAGCTAGGGTAGGATATGATATGATTTTCAGTTGGATTTCTATTTTATAAAGTCAATTTTTTGGTATAAAGTCATTTAATGGCTGTAATCCAGATATTTCTATAAAGCAGAACACGAGCCCTCTGTACGTCTGCAGTTTTAGATCTCTTTTGCCTTTTCTCCCAATGCCTTCCTCTTTTAACTTTTAAATGATAACAAAATGAAACGCTGAAGTCATTGGGGATAAGCTAATACTCTAAAACAGTCAAAGGAAACATAACTCAAGTCACATTCCTAAGTTAATGCCAAGCAGTGCTAGCACTCTATATATACGTACTAGGAAGTTTAAATATAGCAAAACAAGATATAAATAGGTCTAACCTCGGTAAAGACAAGATTTATGAGGTAAGAAAGAAACTGTCCACCAGTAATCATAAGCACATTTGTGCTCACTAATGAACCTCTTATTTCTGCTGGTGAGGATTCTGCTATATACACATGAGCAGTGACAGAAGCCACACCCACACCAAGGCCAACAAGAAGACGACCAAATATAAGAACATATGCATCTGGTGCAGCTGCCATAATAATTGATCCAATAATAAAAACAACATCAGCGCTAAGGGTGGCCTTCTTACGTCCGAAAACATCGTTAATCCATCCACCTGTTGATGCTCCAATAATTGCACCAACCAATGCCATGCTTACAATTGTTTCCTGCCAAACTTCAAAGTATTATTAAAATGATCCAGCAGATATTCAAGAGAAAAGTTGTTCAAATCTGTTTATGTATTATTATCTCCTTCTAATTAACTGCCAAAATTGGCTACATATATATATATGGAAATACATCTCATATCGATCACACATGTTAATGTTACCAAAAAGGCAACCAATAAATAATTGAATTAGTATTCCTGAAGCCTAATTAAAACATTGAATAGGGCAGAAAATTAAGCATGTATACCTGAAGGAAGCTACTTCTCCGCACAACCTCAAAATCATCTTTAATATACAGAATGGCCCCTGATATAACACCTGCAGCAAATTGATCAGTTTCACGTTAAGTCAAACAGTTCTCACAAGTTGAAGTACCGTTTAATTATTTTTTATTTTTAAAATTTTTAGCCCAAATTAATGTCACCGAGCTTTGGCTTCAAATTTTTTTTTTTTAATTTGTTGATGAATGTGCGCGTCATTTTCTATAATTTTCCACCCTATAGCGCCGTTATATTTTTTACTGAATACTATTGACTACTTATTGATCATAGCACTGTAGCTAGCGTAATGAAGAAAAAAACTCCATGATGCAAGGATCAAATGTTCACTCAGTATTCACTAGTCAGTTCAATTTTTAAGAAGAATAATTCTGAATGATCGTATATATAAAAAATCATAATCGTGTATAAACAATGAATAATTAATGAAGGATCCGTTTACAAACTTTTTTTACAAATTACACTAACTATGACTGACCGGTCATACTTAGTTTATAAGAGTTTGTAAACAAAAAATTTGTAAATATAACCTTCAATGTATATATATATATATATATAAAATATAATCCAAAAAAATGGTATGTACCTGTATCGTAGCCGAAGAGGAGTCCTCCTATGCCAGCAGCTGCGGTGACACTAAGAACATATGGATTCTCGAAATACGACATTTTCCTGTCCGGATACAATTCCAAGTAACGGGCGCTCCCAGGCCTCGCTTCCCGACTCATCGAATTCGAATTCGTATTCGTATTCGAATCCGTGTGCACCATCTTCTTCACTCACACACACACTCAAACAAATGATATTAACTCTATATGTAATTTTCTTTCTATCTCTCTTTCTCTCTCTATATATATATGTATGTGTGTTCACGTGATTGACGATGAAGAGGATGAAAACCGTGAGAGTTTGTTGCAGAAAGCGAAGGGGACACGGAAAATTCAACCCAGGTAAGGTCAAAATGAAAAATTAAAATGAAGGAAATGACGGTTTGTTTACAGTCGTCAATGGGTGTCACGTGACCGCCATGAGATATGGAGTGAACATTTGTTGGTCCTAACAACACAGTTTTACCTTTACGTGACTGAATGAACCCTATACTATAATTATGCAAAAACATACATACATACGATACGACGTGGCCATTATTGCCACTGAGGTTCGCTGATTTAATTAACATAGGACGACTGTCCACCCTTGAATTCTGTATGAAAGGAGTTTGCCTGCACAGTGTCACTTTTCCGTCCACTGTCGGGAATGTCTTTTGAGTAAAACGTATGGGCTAACACTAACACTTTGGTTTCTCTGGTTATTATTAAATGAGAATTATCCTTCTATGCTAAAATCCAGCTTTCATCTTTTTATAATAAAATGTTTCTCCGTATGAATAAAAAATGGAGAAAATATTTTTCTTTTTAAATGATAAATAGTTGTGTCATTTCAAGTTAGAAAAAAAAAATACAGCTTAGTATTTTTTATTTAAAATTTAAATTAAAAAACATCTACTTTCTCTTTCAAGATTTTCATTATTTATATCTTTCTCTTACTTAAAATGATATAACTTTATGTCTTTTAAAAAGATAAAGATTGAACCCATAAAAAATATAGAAGATATAAAAATGTTTCTCTCTGTACTTCATAATCAATTAAACACGTATGGCTTGTACATAATTTTATCTTTTTAATATAAATTAAATTAGTGTCGATTTTTTTAATAATATTATTTTAAAAATCAATCAACATTATATATAAATAATATATTAATATCTCTACCAAAAAAGAATATATTAATATAACCACCAAACATGTGAATGAACTGAGAAAAAATGTTCTAATATAATCAAGGGTTTTAGTTTTATCATGCTATAAACACATGTTATGTGGAGTCCACATCGATTAAAAAAAATATATTGCACGAAAATTGAAGTGTCATTTATAAGAGAAAACAATTCTCCTATCATATGAGAAAATGTTTTTCTTATATAAGGATTTTATTATTTTCATATTATATAAAAAAGAAACCATCTATTATAAACACAAATTCAAGATGGGTTCTACTCTCCTTTTTTTCCCTCTCCGTGAAAGTGGATCCCACTTGCGCAAATAAATTTATTGGAGATAATTATTTTCTCTCATCGCATGATAAAACTATTACTTATGGTGTGACGTATAAGACATGATAATATAAGCTTATACTATACGTTATGACATTTTCAGTTGTTTGGTGTGACCATCATATAGTATAAACTTATACAGCATAATCCATTAATACATCAAAACGATGTATAACTTAATCCGGCCTAAGGGTGAGGGATAAGGCCTAATAAGAGATTGATGTATTAACATCATTGACCAATGTAATTCTAAAAAATTAATATATTATTTTAATATTAATCTATTAAAATAAAAATTAATTTTTCAATATATTAATTTTTAAAATATTGAATGTTTTTATTCTTATAAAAATTAATTTATATTTTGGACACACTGATCAATAAATTTTTATAAAAATTAATATCATATGACATTTTTTGAATAATTATATAAATTCTTTATTAAAAGATATTTTTATTAAAAATATCTATTTTTATCATATATAATATTATACAGTGCAATACCAAATACTAGATGATATTATGTTATACAATATATTATTTTATACCGTGCCAAACGCTGGATAGTATTAAAATTTAATCTGGTCTTATACAATCAGGCCTTATACTATCAGGTCTTATACTATTAGACCTTATCCTATACTATATACCAAACATACCCTTAATTGCTTAAACTATTCTATGGTTGAACTTGATCAAGGACACACCCAATTCTTGTTGGTTGAACCAATATTTAAAACATTGAGCTGGTTATCCCAAAAAGAAAAGGAAAAATTGAGTTGAAGTCCATCCTGAAGGAGCCACATAGAAACTCATTCAGTACCTATACAATTTGGACTAGATCTTAACAAGATACAAAGAACTCTCTCAACTGATGGTCATTTGCGTTTCATTATAGGCCCACTTATTAATCCCCAAAGAAATTTAAAAAAAAAATAAAATTGATTGTGACTAGGAGTTTTTTTGGGAGCTATTTGTTCTTTACTTAATGCTTTATAATATGGGTTAGTACTTGTTTTTTTTAAAGAATATAGAATTATGTTATTTTAAATAAAAAAAGACGCAAATAATAAAAATTATGGAAAAGAAAATGAATGTTTTTAATTTATATTTTAAATAAAACAATAATAAATTATGTCTTTCTCTCACTTAAAATAATATAATTAATATCTATTAAAAATACAAATATTTTCCCTTGTAATATTTAACCGTGAAATATTTTTACAGCTAAAATTTGGCTTACTTTATTCTTTAAAGTAAGAATCTTGCTTTATAAGAACCAATTCTAAAAGAAAGAGTACAAATAAAAAAATTATTAAAATAAAATAATTCACGCAGTAGAAAATAGCATAATATAAGTTATTTATTACATAATTTTTTAAATTGATTCAGTTCCCAAACAAAGCCAAGTCCTCGCCACTGCTAGGGGTTGCTATTGCCTATTGCTGTGGGAGAAAGAAAAAAGATGCTTCGCCCAACGAAAAGGATGATGAAGTAACCAGTGATTGTAATCGACATGGCTATCTTCGCAAAACGCTTCTTCAATTTACGCTCTGCTTATTACTCCTCTCTGTTCAATCCACTCGCACGCGCACAACCACAACCACAACCACAACCACAACCGTGTCTTTCTCTGACCGACACGCGCTCATTTTCCAACCAACCTCAACCTCAACCTCGCACCAGAACCCCACTGCAGAAGCAATTCGAGACATGGGTCGAGAAGCTGAAGCCCGGGTTCACCCCTTCCGATGTGGACCAGGCCTTGAAGGCCCAATCAGACCCAGATCTGTCACTTGACATTTTCCGTTGGACCGCACAACAGCGTGCCTACAAGCACACTCACGTGACCTACCTCACCATCATCAAACAACTCATCGCCGGTCGCCGTTACCGACAAGCCGAGACCCTCGTCGAGGAGGTAATTGCCGGCGCCTGCGACGTTAACGTACCTTTGTATAACTCCATTATTCGATTCTGTTGCGGTCGCAAATTCCTCTTCAATCGTGCATTTGATGTTTATAATAAGATGCTTAGATCCGAGGATTGTAAACCCACGCTCGAGACTTATTCACTTTTGTTCAATTCACTCCTTAGAAGGTTCAACAAGTTGAATGTGTGTTATGTCTATTTACATGCTGTGCGTTCAATGACCAAGCAAATGAAGGCTTCCGGTGTTATACCTGACACTTTTGTGTTGAACATGATTGTAAAGGCTTATTCCAAGTGTTTGGAAGTGGATGAGGCAATTCGAGTTTTTCGCCAAATGGGGTTGTATGGGTGTGAGCCTAATGCTTTTACTTATGGTTATATTGCTAGGGGTTTGTGTGAGAAAGGGAGGGTGAATCAAGGGTTAGAGTTTTATAAGGAAATGAGAGGTAAATGTCTTGTTCCAACTACCAGCACTTTTGTGATAATTGTTTGTAGTCTTGCTATGGAACGGAGGTTTGAGGATTCAATTGAGGTTTTGTTTGATATGTTGGGTAATTCTAGGTCCCCTGATCATCTGACTTACCAGACTGTTTTAGAAGGATTGTGTCGGGAAGGAAGAGCTGATGAAGCATTTGAACTACTTGATGAATGCAAGAAGAGGGATTTTTCTATGAACGAAAAGTTGTACAAGACCTTGTTGAATGGATTGCACTTTGTATGCCGGGATTAACTAGATTCTTCTTGCACTTATATGCCTTTGTTTCAAGATGCATTGCACAAGATGTTTTCCTTTTCTTAAAGTCAAGCTCAGTTGTTCTAGTGCTTGGTAGAGCCTGATTTTGGAGAGCTCTGAATCCCATTAAACATATGAATATATGATGTGTATTGTATTGGAGAGCTGAATTTTTTTAAAGAGTGCTATATGCAATGATAAACAGAAGTTTTGAACTATATTTCCCTTGCAAATGTAAAATCCACAGATTAGTGCTAACTCTCTAGCATTGATCTTTGATGATATGGAAAAAAAACTCCTTTTTCTGCTGAAAGGGGCTAGTTATTAGTTATTACGAAAAAGCATGAGCATGATAGAGAACACTGACCACAGCTTTGTAGGGTCACATGATAGCTCAGCTGGAGCAAACACTGACGTGTAATTTCCACCTGTGTCATTGTGGTGGAACCTTGCAAAATTGCTCGTGGATAGTTTGCTGGATGAGCATCTTATGATATCATATAACCAACTAAACCAACCTATTAGTCATCTGATTGTTCTCTGTCATTGCCTCAAGTCCATTTGTTTGCTCCAAAAATAATAATAAATCCTATGAAATTGCTTATTTGATGCACAGAATGGAAACTCATATCAGATCTCACTCAGTAATAATAATGTAATATTAGAACACAACCTTAAACTATAGAGAACATCAGACAGAGGACTTATACATTACTATTACAAGTCAAACCAACATTGAATAATAATATTACCAGATCACCCAATATTATCTTACATAATCATATATCACAATCAGTCAACAACCCTGGTTCCTAAAACGTGTTATCAACAGGTAATAAAATATCTAAAAGTATCACTACAAGATTACAACTGACAGATATAAACGTGTTGAAATTCAGATAAATACATCAAACAAATGATGTTGCTCTTGAAACTTGAGACAAAGCATCTTCAAACTGGTCATCGTCAATCTTCTCAGAACTCAAGCTTTGTGGAATGAAAGATCTGAAAATCAATTCCATGTTGGGAACTTGCTTAAGCCCATGAGCTGCAACCTCAAGTGCCGGACGTTCAAAAGCGGGATAAAATTTCTTTGAACAGACGAAAGCAAAGAATAACGAAAGTATGGGAAGAGGAATCAACAATGGTGTATAGTAGAATTTCTGCACCCCAAAGTACCCAAGCATGGTAATTTGGTATAATATCAAAGATGCTAGTATGCGTTTGAACATGTGGGGCCACATTCTTCCATAACTTTCATATGATGGTACATAGACTTTGAGTGCCTGTTGATACAAGGATAACACAAACACGTAAAAAAAATTACTAGAAGAACATTTTAATAGTATGCCTACATTAGCTAAAACCTTCATGGTGCATATCGATGGTAAAGAGCATGAGATATCATTAAAATCCATGTACATGGCAAAAAGTATTTCCTGCCTTTGTTGCAAACCTCTAGTAAACCAAAACAAATTAGAAGTTTACAATAAGCTTATAAATTTCCATTTTATAATTATTAAATATGAGCTTGCAATAAAAAATAAAATAAAAAAACATAAAACTGTGTTCATAAAACAAAATTTCAGGAACTTTACCTGATTTCGCAGTATAAGCCATCCAAGGCCAAAATACAGAGCGCCAAAAGGGATTATCAGAGGAGCAATAACAGAGTAACACAAGACAATGGTGACAATCAACATGTCACCAGGAACTCTAGTTCCATAACCAAGATCTCCAGGAAACCAAGCAGCTTTCAACTCAGCTTCAGTTTTACAAAGATACTTTCTCTTCAAATGGTATATAATAAGAGGAACTATTCGGGACAGTTCAAGGCCATAGCCAACGAAAAATCTAAGACAAACAGAATAAGAAAAATCAGTTAGTTTGTGTTGGGTCAAGTATTACAAAAAAAATTAAAAAAAAAGGTGAAACGTTTTTTATTCATATGAATAGTAGGAATAGTCCAAAATTTGAAGTTCACAGACAAAATACTTGTTACAGTTATGCTTTGGAACAAAGTAATTCCTGCATCAGAAGAATATAGGAAAAGATAATAACAAGATAGAGTGTGGAACACAATTTGTACATAAAAGTATGCCCTTCTACATTTCTACCATCACTAGAAAGTAGCCAAGCAACCTTTAACATCTAAATAAACAAAATAAATCATCATTGTGGATAAATATACAAAATAAATAAAAGTAAGGATGCTATCTTACTTCAGGGCCACATAGGTCAAGAAAAAGGTAGCATTGCCCGGGAGGCTGCTAGCCAGCATGGGCACAAGTTGATTCGGGTGCTTCTCAATGGTCTTGAATGTGCTGAACAAGGTTCCACCTATAGTAACTCCAATGAAAACATTCAGCACGGTAAAATAGAAATATTTTCCAGATGCAGCCCTGACTGCATGACTTTCAGTTGGAATGCCCTCCAATTTAGACAAAAACAGAAGCAACTTGGGCAACAAAGCCAAGAAAATAATAAGTGCAAGTTGAGGGAGATAAGCTCCTAACACTGTCCTCAACGCCTTTATATTCACAACTGGCTTTATGAATGGGAGAAGCTTCACCAAATTATCCAAAGTTGTTAACGCAGATATAAATGTAATTGGAATCATGTAAAAGAATATCGTCAGCGCGACAATGACATACACCATGTACTGCCTCAGTTCTCTTTCAAAAAACTTGATTTTCAAATTAGGCCATAGTAGTTGACGGGGTTCAGGAGCATCAAAGACTGACCATGTGTCAACCATTTGTGCATGTAAACTCTGAGCTGCAGATGCTGCAACCACCCTACTTGAGAAAAAGACCAAAGCAGCATCTTGCTGCTTTTCTCTTAGAGTGACCTTTTGCTCAGATTCCAATTTGGCAACAAATTCGTTAACCTTTTCAGTGTAATACTCTATGCTATCCACCTTTTTACCAATAAGTCCAAGGAAGCCAGTCTTGTTAGTAGGTCTTGTTCCTTCTGGTTTGGCAGTTGTTTTTGACTCTGCATATATTGCTTCTGCACGGGTAAGCTTCTTCTTATACCCTTCTAACTCCTCCCAAATCTCGTTCACCTGTTAGTAATTAACTTAGAGGAATTAAATTATACATCACAACATTCATTGGCAGAAAATATTAGGAAGAAGCATCATAGACAAATTATTTATATTGAAGGGACAAAACCATAAGACATTCTACATTCTTTCTTAGTATTAGATTCCTAAATGCCACATGAATCAGAAAAGATGGGCTCCAATGCAAGGCATGGAATCAGAAAAAGTAAAGGTAATTCAGAGTGTATGAAAAAAAGGAAATCAATGAACATCACACCTTTTTGTTGTCTGTTACAATCATAGACCTGTAAAATGCCTCTGGATAGATGGTTTTAAAATAAGAGTCAACATGTTCCTTCCTAGTCTGACCTTCAGGTACAGGAGGTATGTCTCTCACAACTACAGCAAACTGTTCGGGCTTCACTTCAGGAGACTTAAGAGCTTCAGATCGCAGCCATGACGCATGCTTGTATGCCCTCCACAAGAGGAAAAATGTAGCAAGTGAAACCCAATAGCAGGCAATTAAAAATGCCCACAACCTGGGACTCTTCTCCTACAAATCATAGAAGTTATTCAGTCTAGCATTATTATCATATGAAGATATTAAAGAAGCTAGTTAGCTGTTTAACTTACAGCAAAAATATTGGACATTACTTTCACACACACACACACACACACACACACAACTAAATAAAATGAAATTTAACCATAATACTATTATACAAAAATGCGATGCAATGCTGATCTTACTGTGATGTTTCCCATTGATAAGTGGTCGAGTTCATTGAAAGTCCTAGCGCTAGTTGTTTGTTTCTTCACACCATCGTCAGTAACAGCAACAGGCAGAAGAACCGGGAGCAGAATAATGCCAGATAAAACTAGGATACCAAACACTGGCATGTGAACAAGAAGAATTACAATTAAAAACCGAATATTTTTTTCATTAATCATCCGGTAAACAAGTCAGCAACCAACTGGAAAATATGACAGTTCATAACCAGATAAAAACATATAGTTGAATGGGAAAATGCTGAATAATATTTCTTAATAATTCTATACTTGGCTTCATTCTAATATATAGACCTTGCTAATGACTAAATTATGAAACATTTCATGCTAATTACAACAGCTTACAGAGAATATTATGTGGTGAAGTCTATGGGACAGATAGGGGACTATTACAACACTTTCCCTCAAACTGGTGAATGGATATATATAATTCCCAGCTTTCCAATAAGATTCTGAAACCTTTCTGAAGGAAGTCATTTAGTTAACACATCAGCTAGCTGAACCTCTAAAGAAACATAAGCTTTGTAGTACCAGTCTAGCAAGCAGTAGAAGGAAGTAGTCCTTTACATTTCATATGAATGTGAGATATAGATCTAAAGCTTGAGATTTCATACATGACTTAAATCAGTTTTCCAAATTTTATGGAAAACTAATTCCTAAGGATCCATGATTCTCAAGAATCCTATTTGAGCCAGGCTTAAAGCAATTCAAAAATCTTAAATTCACGTAACCTATACCTAAATATCTTCCAAACATTCGCACATCAAATGTGACACAAGTGATCTTATGAATATTTTTTCTATGGTTTCATACTTTCATTATCATATTGTGAATTGTCTATTTCGTAACAGTATGCATAGTTCACCAGGAAAGTGTTTTGGTTTAGAAACTGTCTACAATAGATGCTGAAGCTTCATAATTCAACAATTATCCCACAAAATGCTTATTTCACGGAAAGCATCCACTTACACCTGAGATTTTGAAACATTTGAGAATCATTGTTCTGCCCGTTACATCAAAAGTTACACACAGATCCTCAATTACTCACAGGAATTACCAACAACTCTCGAAAAAAGTATGCAGGTAAGGTGTCATGAAGTAAACAAAGTTCTAAAATGCTAATCCTATGTACTCAAGGTAACACGGTTAAACTGATATACAGTTTCCTCTGTATAGGAATATGGCTTCATATACTTAAAAAGTGAGGAAAGATCGATGATGCATCCCTGGAAAACAGATTAATATCTAAAAAAACAGACAAACAAAAAAACAAACAAAAACAAACAAAAAAGAGCTTCGAGATAGAAGAATAAATATGCATCTATCTTTGTATATATCAAACACACAGAGAGAAGGGAAAAAGACAAACCGGTGCTGAGGAAGAGAAAGTAGACGGCAGTGTCGACCCCAGACATGGCGATGACATCATGTTCTGAAGAGGACAAGGCCTCCTTGATCCAAGAGAAAGGGTTGCGAGTCTTATAGCCACCTTCGAAGGGATCGAAGCCCTTGAGGATCCGATTGGGGTAATACACGACATTGTTACCAGGCCTACTTGATAGCAATGCAAACAGAATCATCAAAATCAGAAAAATCACAAAGGACGTTCCAAGGGACGTCAAGAACGATGAAAAATCCATCTATCTGGGTCTCTCTCTCTCTCTCCAACTCCAAGTCACTCTCCCTTCAACAAAAGTCCCTCACTTCACACATAAACGAACCGTTACAGGGTTACTGAATTGGTACATTCATTCAAAGGAAGGAACCGTTGCCACTGGAATTAATTGCTGTTGATAACAGTCACTCACACCATAAAAAAACAAAAAAGGCTATTTTGTCTGTGAGTCTTAAAGCAAATTGCAATAACATAAAAGAGAGAAGATGAATCAAAGAAAGAAAGATGTTATCAAAAACGGTGGTTGTTGTGGGGTATCTTAACTTTTTTGGATTTCTTATATTCAATTAATGCAAGCTCGGATTTTTATTATTATTATTGTTTTGTTTTCAGTTTGAAGAATGCGTTGCGTGGGAAGAACGAGTGGGAATGGGATAGTGTGTGTGAGAGAGAGCGGAATTAATGGAAAACGGTGATGCTTAGCACACAGAGAGAGAGAGAGGGAGAACGCTGTTGAAAAGGACAAAACTTTCCCATGTCATGTCCGTGTGTGAAGAAACACTTGAAATGACACAGATGACCCTAATATTTGATCTTATTACTCATATTGCCACTCAATAATTGGGATCTCGAGTTTCTTTTCACTCTCTTATTATTTATGTAAATACGAACAGCGTGTCTCCTAGTCCTAAGTTATTTAAAAATAGTAAGTGTTTAGATTAAAGAATATTACCAAAAAAAACAGTTTCGGACACAATAAGGTTAATTTTGATGGTAGTTATTAGTTATTTTACATTTGATAATTTTTTGTCTTCTTCTACTTCTTCTTTTTTGGGTACAATTGTCTTCTTCTCAAGTCACCTAAGAAACTACTTCTACTTACCCAAAAAAAATAAAATAAAAATACTTCAGATTACCAAAATGCAAATATTCACTAAAATTTAAACTAAAATTTATTATTACGTGGATAGGGAAGAAATAATAATAATAATAAAAAAAAAAACCTACTCACGTGTTCTCGATGGAATTTTCAAGGAAGTGGAAAGATATTTTATTTGCATTCTATTACACCAGCAAATCTTTTTCCGTCAAATGCTTACCTATTCGCGGTCTTTTGTCTTTTACTTGATGATAAAGTATTAATAAAAGATGAATAGTCATTAAAAAATATTTGAGTTATACTGTTTATTTTTAATGGGATAAATTATTTTATCTTATTTTTTCTGTTTATCTTTATCTATCATTCTTTAAAATAATTAGATTAATAAGAGAAAAAAAAATAAAGATAGTTGAGATTTTAATATAATAATATTAAAAAATAATAGTCAAAGGTAAAAAAAAATTTAGGTAAATAACATATCTATTTAGAATAATCGTGACTTTCAAAATGTTTAATTTATGTTTTCAAAAAAAAAATGTCTAATTTTTTATTTTATAATAAATAAATAAATCTTGCAAAACAAGCGGGCCAAACCTGTCCCGTTCTGACAGCATAAGCACAAACAAGTATCATTTTTTTCATTTATTGAAAAAAAATGTAATTTTAATATCTCTAACTTATCCTTATTATATTAGAATTTGAATAAGTTAAGATTCATATAAATTTATTACTATATTAAATAGTTTATAACAATATTTTGACCTTACGTAATTTTTTAAAATCACCAAATCATTAATTAAATATTTTTGACTTAAATGATAAACAAATTTAAATTTGGCTATTGGGATAACCTTTTAGTTTTGTTTAAGAGTTAGTACTCACAACAAGGTATTTATAGAAAATAGTCCTATATAAAAAAAATAGGAAACACATAAAATAAAAAAGTACCAAATCGGTTAACTTAACAATCATGATAAATATTTAAAATAAAAAAATTGATCTACCAAAAAAATTAAGTAATAAAATTTGATATTTAGGTCTTAAAATGTTATAATTCTCTTAGCAATAAAAACCTCTGTAAAGTTATCCGAAGCCTATATATTTTATCTGTCTCTTTCGTATGCTCGGATATTTTAACAGTAATCTCACGTCAAAAATTATAAGAAATTCTAGAGTTGATCGAACAATATATAGAGGGTACAATTTTTTTTTTTTTTAAAATCTCTTTGTATAACTTTAGATTTCATGTATACATTTAGAGTGTATTGCAATAGATAATGGAAACAGGAAGAAAACAAATAGGGGAAGTTATTTATCAAACAGTTGACAAGCTCACACAGAGCCATCTTTAATAAGTTAATTATTTTATCTTTAATACCGCTGGCAGGCTGGCTTAATTTCTGGCCAATAATTTTTAAACTGAATAGGAGAGTGATTCATTGCAGTGTTCGTGGCAGCTCATAGTAGATCAACTGAACATGGTATCCTAATGATTTCCTTCACAAATCACATGTTGAATAAATTATTCATTTTATCCCCCACCATTCATAAAGGACCATAAAATCATTTCATTCATTCATATCATGATCCGTAAGTAAATACCAAATGTTGGCTTCAGTGCCAAACCCCTATCCGGTGATACAAGTGTTAATTAAGTAATGGATAGTTCTGTTGGTGCTTAAAACAACTCTTATGAAATTTCATCCCATCATTAACTTGATTGGAATATTGGGTTAATGGATTATTGATTCAATAAGTAAACTATTGGTTCAAACACTTAAATTAAATATATATAATAAATATAAAATTAGAAACATAATAGTCAAGAGATAGAGTTGGTGTTGAGATATATCACCCCAAAAGCTAGCTCAAGGGGTGGGAGTGCCCAAGGCCTTATAAAGGCCATATTAGTTGCCCATCCAATCAATGTGGGACTATATATCTCAACAGTTGGTTCAGTGACAAGTGTGGTAAGTAACAATCCACATAGTTCAGGTTCAAATCCCAATACGGAAACTAGAAGAAAAATTTACCGTTAGATTAATTATATTGATCCAACGATTATATTTATTTATTTTTAACTTTGTATGGTTATGATTCTTCATATTTAATACTTTATATTTATTTTCATCTCCGTATGGTTATGATTCCTCACATTTAATGTGGGGAATCATAATCATACAAAAATGGAAATAAATATAACCATTGAATCAACATAATTGATTTAACGGTGAAATTGATTAGCAGCAATTTTAATTGATTGTTACAATATTCTAACCTCTCCGAAAACCAATTCCTTGTGATTCTTCCAATTCTTCAAAAAACATTAAGACCTACAACTACTAGGTGATTTTAAAGGCTAAAATATCGATCAAGAAACTTTGATTTTGGACACAAAAATAACGATCAGCCCATTAATCTACAAAAGTTTTGTTTAATGAAGCAATATTCAACATTAAAGAGAGAGAAATGAAATTGAACATGTGACTTTTAGGAGACCTTATTTGATAATCCTGGATTACCACGGTCCCTTCAAAAAATGGAGGAGAAGAAGGGATTGAGAAAGAAATTATTGAAAAGGCAGAAATTTAGGGGGTGTTTGGTTCAAGTTTTTGGAGAGGATTACCGGTAATCCTTCTTTGGTAAATGTAATTACCACGTTTGGTAGAAGGAATAAATTACGATTCCCGGATATCCAAGGATTACCGGTAATTTGATTTATAAAGAAAAGTCACTATTCAGATTACCAAAAATAATATGGTAATTCGGAATACCAATCAGAATACCAAGTAAAGGGAAAGCACAACAATAAATTTTGAGACAAAAATACCCCAATACACATAAAAATCTAGACCCAATCTATCAATTACAAAAGTAAAAATAGTTTGGGGTTATTTTTGTAAAATAACCTCATATTCCAAGTCATATTTCGTTCTAAACCAAATATGGAATCAGTAATTTTTACCCAGTATTTCCGGTAATATTTTAGCGAACCAAACACATCTTTCGTAAGATTCCAAGTAAACTCAATTTCTACTGAATTTCCATTAATCATGATTCCCGGTCACCAAAAAATTTCTCCTGTACCAAACACACTCTTGAGGGTCAAATATTTTTCCAAAAAAAATATAGGACCATCAACCGTGCTTATGATCCTAAGCACATTAAAAAATTCCCACTTTTAAAAAAGGCATAAGTATCTTCCCCACGCATACACAACAAACTTGTATTGGTAACTGAACTTCGCTAGAAAAAAAATCTTTTTTTTGTAGCCATTAAGCTTCATGAATACCTCGCCAAAATACGTCACCTTATTTTAAAACTACGAGCGAGGACCATTGATTTACAGGTTTGCGTATCCTTGGTGAGCCCACAGTTTGTTGGGAAAATAACACTATCAAGCAGATTCTTTTGAGAATATCATCCAATATCTGATTTTTATACAATGGCAACATTTTATTGTGAAGTGTTTATTGTCTTCGTATATCATATTTTAAAAATTTACGAATTGGAGGCATAGAAAACGTCGATTTCAGAGAGGTAGGTATAGTATACAAATTTCAAATTTGAGCAAATTGCTTAATAAGTTATAAAATATCAAAAAAAAAGGAAAGGAAATTAGAAGTAAAAGCGTGATGGGGTCAGGTCACAGGTCACGGTGAGCATGAATCATGATATTTATGAAGTAGGAAGAGAATACAAAAGAAGGGGATTACGGGAGAGGGTATTATGGTAATTTAAAGAAGGGTTTTACAATTCTCATTTTACATAAGAATTGAAATCTAGATAAAAAATACGTGAGACCTGTATGTTAGAAAACATTATATGTGGGACCTATATCAGCACGAAAATCGAAGAGTGCGTAAGAAAATTCAAACTCTCGTGTTGCATAAGAATTATAAAACCCTTTAAAGAAATAAGGATAAAATTAGTTAACGGGGTATTGATTGGTCTATTTATATTTCCACAATTGTACAACAACTCTACTTCACTTGACCCATCAAAATTGAAGATTTGTTAGTGTTGTTTAAGACACACCCACGTTGGTGCCGACGTGGGTTATTTTTAACCCAAACAGTGAGGAAATGCCATAAGTAGCGGACACGTACCAGTGTCACATGGGAGCTGATAAAGAAAGAGTGAGAACGTGGCATGTTAATATGCTGCCGACAGAGGAACAGAAGAGAAAATGGGTCCCACCCACGTCTTTAGATTTTAGATAAGGTGCCAACTGCCAAGCTATGCTTAGCCTCAATACCATTTTAAACCATATTCTTTAATCTTTAATATGGGTTCATCACGTGAGGAGGAGGACCGTGGCACGTGCCACCTACTGAGAGAAGTGAGAATCAATGGATGGTTTACATTTTGCTGGTAATGAAAGGATTGGGATAGGGTTCGAGACAAGGGGGACCCATTTTACTGTAATCGAACGCGCATTGGACACGGCTTTTTCTCTATTGTCTCTACTTTAGTGGACCCATTTTCTTTATGGACCAACATTTCTCTGATTTTCACGCAATCCAGTTATGTGCTTTTGATTTTTTCAGCATCAGTTACGAGTACAAATTTTGTTATTTAAAAACTTTATATGTAAAATGTTGATATTTTGTTATTTAAAGATAAGCCGAAGAGGTACAGAACGCTTCCTAATAAAGTAAAATATGTATTAACACCACCAATCGCCATGAGCATTTTCTTTAATACGTTTTTTTTTTTTTCCTTCTCATAAAATTGTTCTAAAATAGAACCACAGTTCTTGCCAGTAATCATCAAAATATCAATGAGATGATCACACTAAGTTAAAGGAGGAAGCATACGAGCTCAATGGTCACTACGAAGTAGGATACTCATGAATAAACATATAATTTGTTTTTTTTTTTTTAACAACTTGGGGCAAATAAAGCACAACGCATAACAAAATTGGCCTGAATGGCAATGGAATAAAATGTGAAGACAAAAATGCAAATGCATTGATGAAAAACACCATTTTACCACTTACAAATAAACAGCTTTAAAACTTACAAAATAAGTTTGCAAACGCTTTCACTGCACATGAAAACGTATATTTTAGCAAAGCCAGGCTTTAATTGGGTAGAGGGTTCAAATCTTGAAAGTCGCAACAGGATGGAGAGATGCATATACCTGTTGGTGTTTAAAAAAAAAAAAAAAAAAAACAAGGCTTTAGTAACCATGATACAGTTGCTTTTATTTTACTTCAGTAAGATAATACTTAAAGAAAGGTTTTTATAAAAAGCAACTGTGGTCATGTCCTTTAATAACCATGAATACAGTTGTTGTGTTTTTTTTTTATAGATACAATTGCTTTGATTTTACTTCCATTAGATAATACTTCTGAATATACTAAGTAACATACTGATACTATACAGTTGCTTTTTTTTTTTTTTGAAACCGAACCCAGCAGTAAACTACAATTTAAATTAATTATGTTCTTAAAGACTCATGGTTTCATTTGAATTGTAAAATTCATTAACAGTAAAATATGGTTTAGTTTGACATACAAATTTCATGGACAGTAAGGCGGAATTTAATTTGAAGTCTAAAACGAAACTTGACAGGATGAAAAACCTTGTTAAATTCTATTTCTTTCAAATTGAATGTTATACATTTTGTTATCATTGTAACTTTCTCCAAATACTAACCCAGGTGTGAACTAACATCAGCACAAAACAACAATGATACAATGACAAATCAAACATTGTCATCTGAAGTTGCAGCATCGTGCTCGACCTCTTGACAATTTATCCCATAGACAAACCATTTGCCTTGGTGATTGGTAATGTGCAGTGAAGTAGTCCTCCATGCATCCGTACTGACAAAACTTCCAGTTGTGAGAGTATTGAACGGCTCTCATTGTGTTGTTAAATCGCTCAACCCACATTCCCATGCTTACATCCTCCATCTTAAACAGCTGCCACCACAAACAAATATTTCAACAATCCATACAAGACATGTAACTGCAAGTAACCATAAAATATGGTAAATAGCAGATGCATAATCCAGATAATATTTATGGCAACAAACCCTCAGCTTTCTATCCTTGTGTTGAGATGTGACGAAATTAACAATATCTTTGGAAATTATGTAGGCAGGGCCATTTGCGTAAGGGGGATACACTTCCTCTGGCCACTCCTGCGCCAATTAACATAATCCTTTAGAGAAGGGGAGCAAGAACAGATAAATGAGATAATAATATTCTCTGTATTCTCTAGTACTAGCAGTCACCAACTACTAAGACAACATAACCAGGGAAAATAGAATTCTACTAAATCATGCAAACGAAAAAATTAAAAAAATAATGGATTATGAAATATTACTCCTCACCGAATTACTTACATTAATCTGTTAAATACAAAATATCACTCATGTATTACTTCCTAGTTCAACTAAATGTGGCAACTCTCATACCTCATAAGTAACTGCCCATTTGCCATTTCTCAGAGGCCGATGCAAGAGATTGAGATTGCCCATATAAAGGGACTTTTCCGGAGGTACAGCTTCAATTTCTTTCAAGACAGTATCCACCCTAATAAAAGTGTCGTCATCACATTTCATGACATATGCAGCAGTCACATTCTGAATCTGCATGAAAGAAAATTGGCTTATACAACAGGAGAAAACAAAAAAGAAAAAGACCAAGAGCCACAAGACTTGCACATTTTGAGAGGGATGACAGACATTAGCTGGCCAAATGCAGGTCACCTACACGGCTACACCAACATCCGTACAAAAAATAGAAGAAACAGAAAAGCTGACTAAAGGTTTTAAAAATTAACTCACCCCAAACTCACAGATAGCCATGGTTTTAAGCACAACAAGCTCATAGCGGTCCATAAAGGGCAAAATGATAATATCACCAAAGTAAGCAGCCTCCTTCCTCAGCACTGCGTTTACTTCTTTCCTTGGATTCTTCATGTTGAATCATTGATGTTTATATTTTATAATAGGCACAAAACGCAGAAAAATCAGCCAAACCATATCAATAAGAAGAATAATAGTGAAAAAGGAATGAAAATACACACAAAGCACTTGAATTCCAAACAATCGCATATCTGATTGTGTATAAATTGAGAAAATGATTTTCTTTTCACAAATTGCATAATATTCAATATAGACATTTCAACATAAATTATCTTTTAAACTGTGAAAAATGATTTTCTTCATTCCGCCAGATAAAAATACAGGTTGTGTTTCTCTTCTCCATGAGTCACTATATGCTTCTATGTCATATAAGAATAAAGGCAGCAGCCTTACCAATGCAACAAAGAATCGTACTACTACATTCGAAGATTTGATTGCAGCTGCTTGCATCCATGTTTTTCGAACTGCCATACGTTCTGCAAAGTGATTTGAAGCAGAAAGAACTCCAATAAAGAGTCTAACAGCATGTTTAGGTAGAGCACTGGATTTCCATGTCTCAGACATTTCCAGTACTCTCTGAGGTGAGAAACTTGGATGTGAAGTAGGGAGAGAGGTAGCAAAAATTGAATGAACATCAACGTCTCCTTTAACTGCTAATCCTGTAGCATCTTCGAGTGTAAAACCCTGAAGATAAAGTGGAAAAGAAAAATCAGCGGGAAAAAGAAAAGTGTAACCTCAGCAGCATGGATTATAGAATATGGCAATTAATTCCAATTATTCTTGAAGTTTAAAGCCCTTCCACCCATGGTAAGGGAGATATCACCGTCATTATAAATTATAATATGGCTATGCGGGTACACAGTACACCAAAATTCTCTACCTATAAAACCCAACATAAATGCAAGAGCAATTCACCAACACGAAACTAATATGTTTTTGAAGTCTGTTAGAATATTAAATAATGGGATTAATGTTTGTCTTTTTAAAAGACATAAAATTGTGTTATTTTAATCAAAATTATTGTGTTTTATAATAAGAAAAACAGAAATCATAGTGAGAGAAAATGAGAGATTTTTTTTAATTTAAATATTAAATAAAAAATAATGGTTTTAACTAAAATGACATTCCTTTAAAAGGATAAACATTTTTCCGTTAAGTAATAGCATTTAAGTTGGAATATATAGTCAACTATATATCATGTTGATTAGCTGGTGATGATTAGGCTACAGTTAGCTACTGGTTTCTAGGCTGTAACTTAGCTTCTATTGAACTCCTAATTACCCCCTTGATTACTCCATTGATCGATTGTAATCAAGCCACAAAAATAGAGACCAAGTGAGCAGCCCATTAGCACAAATTTCTCTCAATAATTTCTCTTTCAACAAAGTCTGATATGATAAATAAAAGTAACAACATTAAGAAACTTATCTCCACGACAAACGATTGTCATGAATAAGCTAAATATACAATTTCACTCCATCAATATATTTAGTGCAAGCATAAGATGAAAACATCTGTCATATCTCCATTGACTTACTGTCCGATATGGAAATGAAGTTATATGGCGACCCCCAACATTAATATGGTATCCATCAACACCAGCTCGTAGTGTAAGGACAAACATTCTACCCTCTACAAAAGGAAATGGCCAGGTCACTTCTGGCTTCTGCTCACGCCCTATAAACCGCTTGAACCATGACGTTGTCTTGGACTCTTTTGAGTCTACAATGTCATTCCGCATCCATTTTTCACATCGTCTATACCCATCAACTGCCAGCATGATCAAAAGATTTACTTATACATTAAATTAACACCCACAAAGAAAATTAAAGAATTCAGCATAAGAATAGATTAAAGGATTACGGCTCTCCATTATCATTCTTTTAGACCAAATGCCACTCTATACAAAAATTTTATCCCTTTAATATTATAAAATAGTCAAGCAGTCAAGTATTATTTTCTGCATGTTTCAGTACTATTTTTATAAATAAACATCAAAAGAAAATAGTATATTAGTATCCACATTGAATAACTAGAGGAGTTATATTAGTTCATTATCATTTCTCTCTAGTCTTATTATTGTGATTTCTACAAACTGATCATACATAGTTGCAGAAGCATGGATATACAACGCCAGCCAAAACAGCTTTTCAGCTAAAATTTTGATTAGAGGCTTTTCTAAACACAAAACTACTACATATTAACCATATAATTTATGACAAGAATAAACATTACTTCTGATGTGTTTATATTAATAGCACACAACAAACAACCCATACAGTTCTCTTTTGTTAACCACGTAAGCAATAAGGCACTGCTTACTTTCATGCTCATTTGTCTTCTCTTTTTTCTTTCCTTGTTCTATAATTTCCAAGATTACCAATCCTTTTTACTTTTCTGTTCTCTTTCCATTTTTGCATTTTACATTATGACAATGGAGGCTCTATTCTGCAACACTTTGTTTTACCTTAATAACAGTTAAATGTAAAAGAATACGTTGTGTATTGATCTGTGTCAGGGAGTGACAATATATAGAGATCCTAATGGGCTTAAGTGTAAGGCCCAAACCTAATCCAAACCTAATCCTAATACAGTCAGAATACAGTCAGACTATTTACGGATAAGACAGAATCCAATCATATCTAATCACATCTAATCATATCATATCTAATATTCTAACACTCCCCCTCAAGCTGGTGCGTATATATTATGAGCACCAAGCTTGTTACAAATGTATTCAACCCGAGGACCTCTCTAAGAGCTTTAGTGAAAACATCTGCTAGTTGATTAGATGAGTTGACAAAAGCTGTCTTGATTTCTCCTGACTGAATCTTTTCCCGAATGAAGTGACAATCAATCTCTATATGTTTGGTCCTCTCATGAAAAAAAGGATTAGAGGATATATGTAGCGCAGCTTGATTATCACAGATGAGTGTCATGGGTTGTTTCTGTTCACAAAGATGAAGCTCCTGAATCAACTGCTTTAACCAGATCAACTCACAGGTAGTATTTGCCATTGCACGATACTCAGCTTCTGCACTAGATCGGGAAACAACAGGTTGTTTCTTGCTTTTCCATGAGATTAAGTTTCCTCCGAAGAAGACACAATAACCAGAAGTAGAGCGTCTGTCCGAGGGTGATCCTGCCCAATCGGCATCTGAGTAACCACAAATTTCTGTATTTCCCTGATCCGAATACAACAAACCTTTTCCTGGTGCTCCTTTGATGTATCGGAGGATCCTCACAGCAGCATCCCAATGTGAATCACAAGGGGAATCAAGGAACTGACTGGCCGTACTGACAGCGAAAGAAATATCTGGCCTAGTCACAGTAAGATAATTGAGCTTCCCAATCAGCCTTCGATAACGTCCAGGATCAGATAACGGCTCCCCCTGTCTGGGCAATAACTTAACATTAGGATCCATTGGTGTATCAACTGGCTTACACGCCAACATACCAGTCTCTTCTAGGATATCCAAGGCATACTTCCTTTGACAGATAGAAATGCCCTGTCTAGATTGTGCTACCTCAATTCCCAAGAAGTAACGCAGCTTCCCAAGGTCCTTTGTTTGAAATGCACTGAATAAATGTTGTTTTAACTGATGGATTCCGTCTTGATCACTCCCGGTGAGAATGATGTCATCAACATAGACTAACAAATAGATGCACTTATCAGGAGATGTGATCCTATAGAACACAGAGTGGTCAACTTTACTGCGAATTAGGCCAAACTCCTGAACAGCAGAACTGAAGCGACTGAACCATGCTCGAGGAGACTGCTTGAGACCATATAAGGATTTTCGAAGACGACACACCTTCCCAGGCTCCCCCTGAGCAACAAAACCAGGTGGTTGCTCCATGTAAACTTCTTCTTGTAAATCACCATGAAGAAAGGCATTTTTGATGTCAAGTTGAAGGAGTGGCCAGTGACGAACAGCAGCAAGGGCAAGAAATAGGCGGACGGACGCCATCTTAGCGACCGGAGAGAATGTATCGCTATAATCAAGGCCGAATATTTGAGTAAAACCCTTTGCAACTAGGCGGGCCTTGAGTCGATCAACATGGCCATCAGGTCCAACTTTCACAGTAAACACCCAGCGACAACCAACTGTAGACTTCTGTGGAGGAGCAGAAACAAGGTCCCAAGTGCCATTGGAATGAAGTGCAGTCATCTCATCAAGCATCGCTTGGCGCCACCCTGGATGGGAAAGTGCTTCACCTGTGGTCTTAGGAATAGAAATAGAAGAAAGACTAGAAACAAAGGTGAAATGAGGTGAAGAAAGACGGTCATAGCTCAAAAAAGTATAAAGAGGATAAGGGTTACGAGTAGTACGAGTACCTTTTCTTTGAGCAATGGGAAGAGCCTCTGGTGAAGGATCCGGAGAGGAAGAAGCAACAGCAGTGGGCGATGAGTCAGCAAGAGTCGAGTCGACAGGAGGCATAGTTTTGCGACGCTGATAGGTGAGAAGTGGACGGTCCTCAGGTATAGAAGCAATAGGTTGCTCATTTGGAATAGAAGCACCTGCAGCTGGCAAAGACAAGTCAAGAAAAGGGACAGGAAGAACATGATCAACCTGTGACAACTGAGATGGAATAGAATTAAAGGGTTGTTGATCAAGAAAAGTGACATCAGCGGAAACTAAGTAACGCTTAAGATCGGGAGAATAACAACGATAACCCTTTTGAAGACGAGAATAACCAAGAAAGATACACTGAAAGGCTTTGGATGTTAACTTATCCTTACCAGGAGTGAGATCATGAACAAAACAAGTACAACCAAAAACATGTGGAGTTAGAGGATAAAGAGGAACATCTGGAAGCAATAGGTTATGAGGAATGTCATTGTTGAGCACAGATGAGGGCATGCGATTGATGAGAAAACAAGAGATGAGTACAGCATCTGCCCAGAAGTGAAGGGGAACCTGCATATGAAGAAGAAGGGTACGTGCAGTTTCAATGAGATGTCTGTTTTTACGTTCAGCCACCCCATTTTGTTGTGGAGTGTGAGGACAAGTAGTTTGATGTAAAGTACCTTGTGTGGCCAAGAAATTAGAAAAATCAATAGAAACATATTCCTTAGCATTATCACTACGTAGAATACGAATAGAAACACCAAATTGAGTATGAATCTCAGTATAAAACTTTTTATAAATGGAAAATAACTCAGAACGATTTTTCATTAAATAGACCCAAGTGCAACGGGAAAAATCATCAATAAAGGTAACGAAATACCGAAAACCTAAAACAGACAAGGTACGACTTGGACCCCAGATATCTGAATGAACAAGAGAAAAAGGGGCATCAGCTCGTTTATTGACTCGATTGGCAAAAGAGGAAAGTGTATGCTTCCCTTGTTGACATGACACACAATCTAAAGACTGAAGACCGGATAAAAGAGGAACCATTTTCTGCAACTTCGAAAGACTTGGATGACCGAGGCGACTGTGGATAAGTTGTGGAGATTCTGTGAGAGAGAGTGCCACTGAAGGACGAGGCACATCCAGATAGTAAAGCCCCCGTGACTCACGACCCACTCCAATCATTTCCCCCGTACCCGGATCCTGCACAGAAACAGAATGGTTAGAGAAAGTAATGGTGCAAGTGAGGGAGTGGATCAACTTACTAATAGAAATTAAGTTATAAGGGATGCCAGGAATGTAATAAACAGATGTCAAGGCCAAGGTAGAGGTCGGACGAGCTTGTCCAATCCCACGAACTGGGGCTTTGGTTCCATCCGCAAGGGTAAAAGAAGGTAAATGATCAGAATAAGTAAGAGATGTAAAAAGTTCCTTATTACCACAGAGATGATCGGTAGCACCTGAGTCAAATATCCAAGTGCCAAGTGATGTAGAATGAGAAACACAAGCAACGGAATTACCAGTATATGGTTGAGACTGAGGAGAAGCTTTCTTGAGAAGAGTTTGGAGTGCAGCATAGTCCGCAAGTGAGAGAGAAACTGAACCAAATGATGCATTGTCTGACTAAGCTATATTCGCAGCAAGAGAGGTAGAATCCTTCAGTTTGGAAGATGTAATGAGCCCAATATTAGTAGAGATGATTCCTGAGGAAGTTTTGACAGGAGGACAAGGAGAGTTAACCTCCGAGAGATCAGTGGACGCTGCTGCTATTTAAAAACAGAATATAAAAGCCGTAAACGAAGGCAAACGATATCCAATCAAGGAGAACCACGCGTCTAAAGTGAGACCCACAAAGAACCAAGCACAGATCCATAAAGAGGAGAAGAAGGCGAGAAGTTCTGTCCAAGAACGGCCGGAAAAATCCACCGGAACAGTGCACACGCGCCGGTTGAAGGTGGCGCGTGAGCACCACGCGCAGAGGAGAAGAACGGCGCGTGGAGGCGCGTTGATGACGCGACGGTGGTCGGACCACCACAGAACTGGTCGCCGGGATGAGACGGTCCTGATCGCAGGTAGTCTGGGCTGAAAACTCGCCGGAACAGTGCTCTGGTTGCCGGAACAGTGACGAGCGGCGGTTGTTGGCGGCCGGAAGTGGTTCCGGTGGCCTGAACAGTGACGAGCGGCGGTTGTTGGCGGCCGGAAGTGGTTCTGACAGTTGAAGAAACAAGCCGGAGAGACACACGGCTTAGAGAGAAACTCGCCGGAAGAATGCACGGTAAAGTAGAAGAGAACACCTAAGCAGTGGGCTTAGGGTTTTAGCGGAAGCGGATCCCCAGAGCGAAAAAGCTCTGATACCAAGTTAAATGTAAAAGAATACGTTGTGTATTGATCTGTGTCAGGGAGTTACAATATATAGAGATCCTAATGGGCTTAAGTGTAAGGCCCAAACCTAATCCAAACCTAATCCTAATACAGTCAGAATACAGTCAGACTATTTACGGATAAGACAGAATCCAATCATATCTAATCCAATCTAATCATATCATATCTAATATTCTAACAATAACAAACTCGAAAATGAATATGAATATGAAACATGATAAAATCATACCAAGCATTTCATTATCATTCTCAGATGGCAGACCATCACATCTTTGAGCTGTTCCCCAGTGCATTCGATAACAGGTATTATGCTCAATAACTGGTCGTTTGCTCCAATCCCCTCTTAATCGAGGATTCAAGTGAAGAATCTTAGGAGGATCTTCCCCATCCACTGATTTAAGCCCTTGTAATTCAACCATGAACTGTGAAACCGAAACCAACCCATTACCTTTCCTCAACCTTGCAAGCTGGGGAGCATGCTCCTTATGAGCATAATGGGGTGTCCCCACCACGGTGATTGAAGAACCTGCTGCAAGTCCACATGGAAGAAACATCAAGTTATCCCCCTTCAACAATTCTTCCCCACCCATTGATATCCAAGAAGGACAAGATTCAAGCCTTCCATCAATCATAGAGCTTTCTCCAGACTCCTTGCCATCAACCTTGTCTATTTCTTTCCAAGCCTTTAACCCTAATGTCCATGCCTCATCTGCCATTCTCTCAAGCACAGAGAAATCATTGGTCCTGTTCATTTGCCTCAAGATTTCTCCAGTAATCCTACCATATCGCTTCGGAATCTGCTTCATAGATTCACGGCCATGATCTTCCTCCTTCATTGGTTCTTTATCCGGCCTCAAGGGAGCATCCTGGTCCCTATTATCTTCTAACCGCCGGTGAAATGCATCTTTATAAACAGAACTAACGAAAGGTTTGCTTAAATCTGCATCTTCAGAGTCCCCAGTAGCTAACCCATCCAATCCATTGTAACCTTCATCACCACTTAACGTTGACATGATCTTCAGAAACTGTGGAAAGTTGCAAGATACAAAAACCAAGTATAACACCCCAACACCAAACAAAAAATGGGACAACCTACACCTCCTCGAATTGGGAGGTTCAATCTTCAGCCTCTTCATCTTCAAAAAGACAAGCCAAGAATACAATATACTCTCTACAACAATTCCCTCATAAAACCCATATAACTACCCCGCAACCTGAAAAAGAACGCAAACGGCAACAAACTCAAATTTTCAAAGCAAAACCCACGTCCAAAGTTTCGGAAGAAACCGAAACGGTAACGTATTGGAGAATGGAAGTTGGGCTTTTGGGCAAGAATGTAAAAGAATCAAACTTTGCATACATGGAAAGAGAAATCAACCAATGCCACAATGATTTAACAAGTTGGGAGGAAACCCATTGTAATGGGAGGCGCAGAACCCTAAATTGTTCAACATGTGATAGGCAACATATGCCGAAAACTCGATCGTCTCAAAGAAACCTAATGAACGGAAACGGGTGAAGAATCCAATTGGCGCCAAGATTAAGGTACCCCGATCTTCGATCTGATGGAAGAGAAAAACCCAGATATGAATGCAGAAGAAGAAAAAAGAAGGAACCAGGAAAATACAAACAGAGGAAAGTAGTATTATTGAGTATGTGGAATTGTGAAAGCCTCTCATGACACTGTAACTCAATACTTCAATTTCAATATCTATAATTGTACTAACACTATCAATTAGATATTCAGGGTACCCAAAATGGAATTTAATTTTTACTTTTAACAAAAAAATAAGGGATGAGATATTATGACACCCAAGTTATGTTACACCCATGTGACACCCAGTCAATCTCATCGTTAGATCGCTTATGTTGATCCAACGGTTATATTTATTTCCATCTTTGTATGGTCATGATTTTCCAAATTTAATATTTTATATTTATTTTCATCTTTGTATGGTTCTGATTTCTCATATTTAATGCATAAAATATTAAATTTGGAAAATCATGACCATACAAAGATGAAAATAAATATAACCGTCGGATCAACATAAGCGATCTAACAGTGAGATTGACTGGGTGTCACATGGGTGTAACATAACTTGGGTGTCACAATATCCTATCCCAAAAAGTAAATATGGAAGGTTATATTTACAGTTTCTTTTGTTTTATAATTATTTTTGTTATTGTTGATAACAAAATAATTTCAAACGAGAATAATCAATTTAATTTTGACCAATTATCATAAAATAGTTGTAAGATGAAAAAGATTTTAACTTTTAAGCATAATCTATCTCTAATTTTTATTACATTTTTTTCCCTTCCAATTTACAATACATACTCTTTTAGTAAAACGAATCTCTATAACATTACAGAATCACTTTTCCTACGACATAAATCTTATAAAATTCATTTATTTAACTTATATTGTAATGATTTCATGAGATATTGATTTTTGATTTGGCAGGATTGTCCAGGAGAATTTGTGGGATGATGGTCACATTCTCCCTCACCACCCACCAGCCTCTTATAGCTGAGAAAAAATGGGATGATGGTCCCATTCTCCCTCACCACTCGTTTTTTTCTGAATGAGCCAACGAGTCACTGCAGAGGGTATGTTACTATGTTATAATATAAGGTACTTTATACTTTTTGCCTTTATTTAAAATATTTACCTTTATTCACAAATTTTCCTTTATATATATATATATATATATATATATATATATATATATATATATATATATATAAAGAATATTACTCTCATTTTACATAAGATATCTTCTCTCAAGTTCTCTCACTTCGATTTTCGTATTCCACTTTTTTTTTCTTGTAATAGTAGGACTCACCTATTTTCTCTCTATAACATAAGATAGCTATCTTATGTTAAATGAGACTAATAAAACCTAATATATATATATATATATATATATATATATATATATATATATATATATATAATATATATATAAACTAACCATTAAACTAATAATTAAGGAGCAACTTTAACTACTACTTAAAGAAAGTACATTTCATGTTCACCAAAAAATAAAAGTAAATTTCCTGAAGTGAATTAAAACTTGAACATTTTTTCCCAAATTTTACTTGTTTCACTCTTATTTATTAAATTAAAGTACATTATGTTAGTAATGCAAAAAAAAAAAAAGTACATTATGTTAAGAGTGGATTCATCTTTTCGTTTATTCTCCCTTAATTAGAGAAAGAAGAGTGATTTTTTAAATAATTATGCATATTTTTTATAATTTTAAATTGTTTCATATAAAATTTATAATTTTTTAACATTAATTATGCATACATACCTAATATAAAATAATTTTTAAACTAAAATTTAAAATATCGTGTAAGCTACGGTATATTTGTTAATTCTTTTAAAAGACTTTATTTCTTTTTCTAAACTAATAGTTCTTTGAAATAGGTTTTTTTCTATTATTCGGGAAAAAGTATTTATGCTGTACAATTATATTTTCATTTCATTGATTAATTTTGCTCAATCATTATAGTTTGAGTTTTCCTTGCTTCAACGCTAATTAATTAATGTCTCAATTGTGTCTCTTTCTTAATTAGTTAAGGGGGAAATTTGATAGAAGATAAATTTTTGTTATTGGGAATCACTGTTCTCGGTAATATGATGGGAAAGTCAATTTCTCAATGTTGTGAGCAAAAAACTCTTTGGTAAGTTAAAATATTACCATGAATGTTGGCTCAAGTTTCTTGATTCTGCATTTAGTTGATTGTCAAATATTACTAAAAATATTAGGTAATTTTACAAAAATAACTTTTAGTAGACAACCTACTTCTGGTCTTTGCAAACAACATGCTTTCTACAGATTCCCTTTTGGAAAATTTTCCTGGTTCCGTGAACCGATGTATATTTGAAAATGATCTTGTCTCGGTATGTTTTAATCAGAACCCAGGAAATGGGCTCAAAGTTGGAAGATTCATCATCATCCCCTTCAAACCATTCAGAATCCCCTAGTGGTTCTTGTTCTGTCTGAAAGACAGAGATGTGCAGACGGTGGCTGGTATATTTTATCTAGGATCTAGGTGCCCTATCTCAGGTATCTATGAATGAGATACCCTTGAGGGTAGGCTAATCACTGTGCACAATAATAATCGACATAGTCAAGGCGTGGGGTGTGTGCACAGTGACAAGCTAAGAGAGAGGGTTTTGAGAGTGTGTGTACCTTATTGGTTTAACCCTGTATTTATAGATGGGTTACCTGAAAGAGTGTAATTTTGGGCCTCTTAGGAATATTGGGGGTCCAAGTCCAACTGCTTAGCTGTCTGGATAGGATTGTCATCAATAGGAGATTCCCTTCCTTTTGTGCTGTCCTTATTGGTCCTTCTAGAATACGGGCCTTTGTCAGGTCCATAACAGTTGCCCCCCAGCCCGGTAGTTTGGTTGTCCAGGCTGCCGGGATGTAATAGCAGTGATCTCTTCATTTTATTTCGCAAGTCTGATTTCTTGTCAAAAGTTGGATGTGTTGCTTTCATAGCAATAATTTTGATTTTTTCCATAAGGAACTTGAGAATGATAGGGCGTTCCCCTATCTTTCAAGATTATTTACCTCGGCTAGAACTCGCAACCTTACCCATAGGCAAGAGGGTTCAAGTACCTCGACGTTGTTGGCCGGGCTAGAACTCGTAACCTTACCCGTAGGCAAGAGGGTTCAAATACCTCGACGTTGTTGGCCGGGCTAGAACTCTCAATCTCGTCCTGTGGGCGAGACGGGTTCAAATGCCCCTGCATTGTTGCGAGGCTAGAACTCTCAATCTCGCCCTGTGGGCGAGACGGGTTCAAATACCTCGTGTTTGTTTTCGTGGCTAGAACACTCAATCCTACCCTTTGGGTAGGACGGGTTCAAATCCAACAGATTTCCTTACGAGGCTAGAACACTCTATCCTGCCCTTTGGGCTGGACGGGTTCAAATACCTTGTGTCTGTTTCCGCGGCTAGAACACTCAATCCTACCCTTTGGGTAGGACGGGTTCAATTCCGCCGGATTTCCTTACGGGGCTAGAACACTCAATCCTACCCTTTGGGTAGGACGGGTTCAATTCTGCCGGATTGCCTTACGGGGCTAGAACACTCTCTCTTGCCCTTTGGGCTGGACGGGTTCAAATACCCCGGATTCTCTTGCGAGGCTAGAACTCTCGACCCTGCCGTCTTGGCGGGTTAGGTTCAAATACCCCGGATTTATTTTCCGTGGCCAAAACACTTAGTCCTTCTGTTTTGGTAAGACGGGTTCGGACTCCCCGAATTTGCTTTATTTTGGGTCTTTATCCCGGATTGGGGTGTGACCCTTTCTCTAGGATCCCATCTCTCCAAACATGTCTTCATTTTTTCGCGGATTGGGGTGATTCTCTTTCTAGGACCACATTTCTCCAAACCCGTCTTCATTCTTTATAAATAAACCATTTATATTTCGATGGGCCGGTCTTCATTTTGACTCTCTCTTCACAACCACAAAAGTGAAATGTCAACATTTTGATTTTAAGTTTAGGCCGGCAGTATTTGCCTTTTTTCTCGAGCCCGGCTTCTCTTGCATCGACTCTTCTTTTAGCTTGGCTTCTTTTGCCCAAGTCTTGTATTCATCTAGGTGAATTTTCTTCCTTATTTGAATGGATCTGGATCTCCTTCCTTTTTAGAAGGGATCTCCACACCACCTGTTTAATTATTCCTTACATCACAGTATAAAGAAGATAATTAGCAATAATTTTGGTTCAATCATCAATCAACAATTTTTCAGCTGTAATCAGCAATCAATTCAATTAGCAAATTATATTTGACCATATTTTATGCTATATGATCTGATTGAGCACCCATCATAAAGCTCCATGCTCCCCCGTTTCCTTGATCTTTTGTGAACATAGGGAACGTAGCCTCATGGTGAAACTTGATGCTCTTTTTTTCATGATAATATTGAAATTATCTACCGACCTGCTTTGCCGACATATAATGCATAACAATGTTGACCAACTTTCAAAAATTTATATATTTTGTATATAAGCATCGTATAAGAATTTGGTCCAGCAAGAAGTCATATGAAATCATGATAATAATTTTCGGGATATAAAAATAAGGAACAGAATGTTTCCCTGTTATTTTATAACCATCCTGCTTGCAATAGAGGACGATTCCTGCAGTGGGAGTAAGATAAACCAACACGGGTCTTTTTAATTTAAGCTCATTGGCATGGTTCCCGCATGTTATTCTTGCCTATTGAAATCTAATCCCGGCTCTGGTCTTGATGCCGAACTGCCATATTTATTGAAGTCTGATCTCAGCTTTGATAATGACTTGGTTGAGATGCTTATTGTTGGATATTGGCCGAGATGCTTATTGGAGCCGGTTCTCTATCCAACTCTTCTGTATTCTACATATCAATTACCCATCTTTTGTTTGGGAAAATTGTCAGTGGTTACCAACAACAATATTACCCACTTGAGTAGATTGTGCAGGTATAATATCTCGACAATTGAAAATAAACAAAATCTAAAATTAAAGCATGAGAAATTATCTCCTTATCTGACTTGTCTTTCCAAAACCAGTGTTCCATGAGCTTCTTTTCAATGTATATAATTTTTTGGCCTTTCAAGACTCAGTGCAGAAGCTTGGTGCAAGATGCGTAAGACTCACATCATATTTTTGGGTAT